GAAGGGTGGAGCGGGGTGGGCGGGAGGGGGGAGGGAGAGGGTGTGGGGGGGGGCAGAGGGGAGGGGGTTGGGTGTGGAGAGGCAGGGGTCGCAGGTCGCCTTCTCCGTCTTCGATCTACGACCGACCACCTTGGGATCATCTTGGGTGGCCGCTTTACTTTGCTCTCGCGGAGGCCTCTGCAGTTGCAGTTGTTATGTTGGAGTCTTTTTTATGCCTTAACTCCGTTCCCTGATATCGCTCCCTGTTCAATAGCTTTCCCTTTCACTCCACATCCATTACTTCGCCTCAATCGATCCGTTCTTCAATACTTCGAGAGTTCAGTACTTCTGCATTTTGCACTCTAATTCATCCCCTGCCTTTTATCGGGGACCTGTACTTTCCCCCTCTATTTTTCCTTCTCCTCACAACCCCCCTTGTGTGTTTAATTTTGAGAACCCCCTCGCCTCCTATGACAGCTACCCGCCTCCCACCACTCTAACCGCACCCAACCGCTCTAACCGGCCCCAACGCCCTCGTTCGGGATCGTCTTTCCCCACCGCCCTCTTCTCTTCGGTGCAGTCGAGGAGACTTCCAATGCCATGGCCCTGGACGGCATCATGTTCGAGGGCGTGTCGGTGCGTGTGCGGCGGCCCAACGACTACAACCCCGCCGCAGCTGCCTCCCTGGGGCCCTCCACCCCCAACCCCAACCTCAACCTGGCTGCTATCGGACTATCCAATGCAGCAGGCGGAGGCGGTGGGGGAGGTGGCAGCAAGGTAGGGCGGTGGTTACGGCGAATTTGCGCTTTGTTCGGGTTTTTTTCTGTTAAGAGCCGTTTTCCAGGTCTCTTGACTGACGTAAGACATCTCCAGTTGGCGGTCGGTGGTTTATTGTTAAAGACGTTCTGAAGGAATGAAGGAATGAAATCCGACCTGACAAGTGCCTGGACCTCACCCAGGGGGGCGTAAGTCCCACTTCGGACCCCCCCCCGCACCATCCGTTTCGGCCCCCCCCCCTGTTTCAGCTCCTCCCTTCACCTCCCCACCTCACCGCAGTCGAGCTCAGCCGACCAGGCGGATCGCATCTTCGTGGGCGGCTTGCCGTACTACCTGACGGAGGAGCAGTGTCGTGAGCTGTTGGGATCCTTCGGCCCCATCAAGTCGTTTGACCTGGTCAAAGACAGGGAAACGGGGAACAGCAAGGGGTGAGGATTGGGCGGGCATAATATTGTGTATGTATGTATGTGGGTGGGTGGGTGGGTGGGTGGGTGAAAATTGAGGGGTTGCCCCTACATCTTCGGAGTTATGGCACGGTACGGCACGGAACGCATGTGTTGTACTGCAATTCATATATTCCCGTGTGTTTTCCGCCGTTCACATCTTACCTTACCCACCGCCTGGGCCCCGCTGGGCCCCTCTCCCCGCCTACGTTTGGTACACTCTTGCCCTGGCAGCAGCTTCACTCGTGTGTGGTTCGTCTTTCCCCGCCCCGGACATCGGCAGTTGACATAAGACTTGCACATAACGCTTTTTCACCGCCTCCCGTCGGGCCCCCCCCCCGCTACCCTTTAAACCCTACACACGACGCTGTTCCCGCCAGGTACGGCTTCGTTGTGTATCAGGACTCTGCCGTCACCGACATCGCATGCGCGGGTCTTAACGGTCTCCGAATGGGCGACCGGACTCTCACAGTGCGGCGGGCTACGGAGGTACGTGTTCGGAGGCTGCTGGGCTGGGGGGCCAGAAGAGAGAGGAAGGGGGGGCCCCGTTACGGGGAGTGTCGCGGTCCTGTCCTGTGGTTGGGAAAAAAAGAGGGAGGGGAAGGGAACGGAAGCTGCAGTGGTGGGGCGCTATGGGTTGCTGGGGCCGTGTGGGTGGGGCACTGGTGCGGACGGGGGTTTATCTGGGGAGTGCGGGGAACGAGCTTTTTGTTCGCGGGGGAGGGGGGGTTGGCTGGGCTTCAGCATTTTGGGACCTCTGCGCGCTGGGAGAAGCCGATACTGCTGGTGCTAGGGTCCAAAAAACGCGAGTCTTACACGGCATCCACACGCACGCACGCCGCTCGCTCGCTCGCTCGCTCGCGTGTAACCAACCCAAATCAACCATCGGCTCATCTTTTACTTCAACACTCGACCCAACTTGCCATTCCCCAAGTTTAAAACCAAAAGTCAACCAACCCAATGTGCCCCACCCACCTCCCCTCAGGGCGCTCCCTCAGCTTCCGGTGCCGGTGCCGCCGCGAGCACCGCCCTGGGGCCCCCGGGCCTGGTGCCCGCCGCCCTGGCCAACCTGGGTGTCGGTGTGGGGGTAGGTGTGGGGCTCAACCCGCTGGTGGCAGTCAACCCCGCCCTCACTTCGGCCACTCGCATCGTCGTGCTCACGGATGCGGTGAGTGTGTATGGGTGTGGGAGGAAGGGGGAGGGGAGGGAGGCGGGGTGTGGTTTTAGTGGTTTTGGCGTGTCGTGTGTGATATGGATGGGGGAGTGCGTGCGTGTGTGTGTGTGTATGAGCGTGCCGGGGGATGGGTGGGGGTATTCATAGAGGGTGGGAGGGGGGAAGGAAGCCAAACTTCTGAGCCTTTCCAATACCTCCCGGTCTGTCCGGCAAAGAGGGCCGGGAGGCCTCACGCCCCTCGACCCCTTAACTAGTTGCTGCTGCTGATGATGATGGTGGTGGTGGTGATGGGTGGTTCCCATCCTGAAGTTTACGTGGGCGTGTTCTCGTGCTCAGTACTCATTGCTCTGCGGCTCTGTTTGCTGTCGTCGACCGGTCAGGTTTCGGCGGAGGAGATCGTGGACAACACCGAGTACGAGGACATCCTGGCGGTGAGGCGGGGACCTGGAAGGGACGGGAAGGGAGGGAGGGAAAGAGTGTGTGGTACGGAAGGGAAGGGAAGGGAAGGGAACGAAGCAAGGGACCCAGGGGGAGAGGAGGGGGGAGGGTAAGACGAACCACTGTCGAATGGAGCCGAGATTCAAAAGATAGACGGGTAGTCCAGAAGAAGATAAATGCTGCATTGTTCGGAAAATTTACTGACCAGGGGAGGGAGCGAGGGGAGGGAGGGAGGGAGGGAAGGGGGGGAGAGCTGCCATTGCGGAAGTGGCATTCGAGTCAGTTCATGCTAACATGAACCGCATCCTTTATGATGTTAGCTCTGTCACGGACTGCGCCTCTACTAGATATAAGCTAGTAGGTAAACCTTTAGTATCATTGCTGTATTTACAGCATATCAAAATTCTCATAATGGTTCAAGGGTATGGAAACTACTTCTGGATAATAGCTCAAGTGGCCGAGCCCTAGCGTAGATTCGGCTCAATGGGCAGGGGTGCCTCTCCCCAGGCGCATGTTCCCAGGCGTGGTCCCGGGCTGGATGGTTGCAGTCGTGATGAAGGCGGTACTAGTGTGGGGGTGGGGGTGGGGTTCGCCAAGAAGCGGGGAACGGGCTGGGTCTTCCACACCTTGTCTGTCTGCCTAAGCACGCTGGTACGCCGATTGTTCTGCACCCCTCATTGTCCAGGTCCTGTGCCATGTCTCCTGGGTCCTGGACCCAACCTCAATCCACTCCTTCCCGCTTTTCTCATGTCCTCGTTGTTCCTCCTCTTGGGGGGGGCCCTCTTGCATGCATGTCACATACCGCCGCCCCTCTCCGCTCCTCTCTTCTCTCTCCACCACCACAGGATATGAAGGACGAGGCCTCGCGCCACGGGCTGTGCAACAATGTGCTCATTCCGAGACCAACTGCGGAAAACCCCAACCCGCCGGGCATGTGCAAGGTGAGTATTGCGGAGGGGGGAAGGTGATTGTGGTTGGGTGGGTGTGGGCGTGCATGGAGGCGTTTTTCTGGGGGGGGGACGATGAGATATCCTCCGCCCCTGCCTCTTGTACCACCACACCATTTTCTGATCTTTGCTGTGAATCCTGCCACTGCTGCTGCTGCTGCCAAGTTAACACAAACCCAAGTCATCATGCTGTTGCGACTGCTGCTGGTGCTGCCGCTGTCGCCTCCGCTGCACTGCTCCATTCTCTCGTGCCACACTTAGGGCCTTTAATAACACCCCGCCCACCCCGCCCATCGCTTTCTTAGATCGCAGCAGTTTTCAACACAGGTTTTTGGCAGATGTTGCGCCATGCACCGCTATGCAATTCCCTTACCCACCCACCCCTCCTCGACCTCGTCCTCTTATACTCTGGACTTGTTCTATGAATTCCCGTCCCACCCGCCTGCAGGTTATAATGGAGTTCAACGACGTCAACTCCGCAGTCAAGGCCCGCAACGCCATGCACGGACGGCGATTCGCGGGACGTGTCGTCAACGCCACCTACCTCACGGAGGAGGCCTATTTCTCAGGCCGGTACGACGGGTGAGGAACGGCGTGGCCAGCCGCCGCCGCCGGCAGCAGCGGCCCCTTGGATGGCGCCGCCGCCACCGCCGCCGCCGCTGCAACAACAATCGCGGTGCGATTGTTGCGACCTGCGGCCTGAGAGCCGAATCGGACTGAAACGGCTCCTTCTCCGTTGTGCGCGCGTGTATGGGGGAGGGGAGGGTGGAATGAGGCTGGCCCTCTGAAGTGGCTGAAAACGGTGTGATCTCCCTCCGGCGTCGGTTTTTTTGGTGTTCTCTCCCTTTTCCGCCTTCGCCTCCGCCATTATCCACCAACGCCTTCTTTTTTCGTCGCCGTCTTCGTTGTCGTCAGCGTTGTCGTGAGCTGCCGCATCTTGCCATCCTGTCTTCTTCGCACGTGGAGGGGTAGGTGGGTGGGACGACGTTGGCTGTGCGCGCGCTTTCCTGGTCATGTCAGGGTCTGGTGTGGTGTGGTGGTTGCTTCGATGGTGGTGTTCCTGCCCTTAGCGATCTCTCCCTTGGCAGTCAGGAGGGGCAGTGGCTGACTGCCCAAGTAGCTCACGGGGCACGGCTGACGCTCTCCGTTGGCAGTCAGGAGGGGCAGTGGCTGACTGCCCAAGTAGCTCACGGGGCACGGCTGACGCTCTCCGTTGGCAGTCAGGAGGGGCAGTCAGCCACAGCAAGTAAGTCGGTCATCTAGCCAGGCAGCCGATCATCCAGGCGAGGACGTGAAAAGGTGTGGGATGACGTGAGGCGCTGTCAGTTGGGTGAGCTCGGGGCCCCTCCCTCGTCTCGCTTCGCTGCTCTCGTCTCTGCTCTTTCGCCCGTACATGGAGGGAGCACAGTCCCCACCGTCAGTTGTCTTGGTTAAGGAGCACGCAGGTGGGATGGATGGATGGATGGATGGATGGTTGGATGGAGCACTGGCCGCCGGCCGTGTAGGGCAAAACCCTAAGAAATATGGGGGGGCGGCGGAGCGCCATATGATTGACAGGATATGGTCCGCTGCCCCACGGAGCCCCACAGGCCCCTAGGACTGACCCTACCCTAATGTCCACTCCAACAGCCCAACACAGCTTGGATAGAAGCTTGTGTGTGTGTGTGCGGTTTCTTCGAGCGCTAGGCGCTATTTGGCGAACGAGGTGACGGCACCCGGTCGGCACTGACGCCGATCCATGTTCCTACCCATGATACTATTCCTGACTCACCTCTAGCACGTTACGGACCTAGGGTTGTCACCGTTGAGCCACAACCGGATAGTGAAGCGCCAAGTGATGCCGGCGGTGTCCATCGCGTCAAACTCGAAGCGCCATAACGAGAAGTCTAGGACGGTTAAGGCAGGTTAATCTCCACCATACCGTGCAGCAAGAGTAGCCGGGCTGTGGTGTTCTCTCCATATTCAATGGAGAAAGTGAGGGGCGGATGCGGATACGGCGTGTATCGGGCCGTGGGGGGCGGGAGGCGGGTCGCTGACGGGGCTGGGGCTGGCGCAGGGAGGGAAAGAGGCAGAACAAAGGAGGGCGGGATGATGCGGGAGGGCTTGGTGGCGGAAGCGAAGTTTAATGGTGGCGTGGAGTTGATAAAGGTAGTACTACTTTTATAAACAAAAGTCGTGAAACTAGTGGCGGTGGAGGGTGTAGGGTGGAGCGCATGGTTGGGAGAGAGGAGTATCCCCACGGGGTAGGGGGCTGCTTCCTCTTGGGAGAGAAGAAGAGACGTGTTGGGGGGGTGGATGAGGACTTTGGGTTTTTGAGGTGATGGAAAAGAAGTTGGAATGAGAGGGTTCAGAAGTGCAGCTACGGATTGTGTCAGCAGCCCCCTTGCGGTCTAGGTAAACATTTCACCACGTTACGATGATGACGATGATGATGATGATGATGATGAAAATGACAATGGCATTAAGAGTGCTATGTCGCACAAGGATACCCATCCAGACGGCCATCCTGTTCAGGTTTGCCCCCCTTACTGCTTACACCGCTTCCCTCCACCTCCTCCATGCACCCGCTACACACGACTCCATGCGTTTATTGCGCTATGGGGAGTTAAAATCGGTGGCCTCAGCCGAACTGTCCTGGCATGCGTGTGTGTGTGTGCCCGTCTGTGGGGTGCGGTACAACCGAACCGCGATTGAGGGCTTTAGGATTTTTGTGCAGGGGCTTGGATGACAGGGGGGTGGAGGGAGGGAGGGAGGCCATGGGGCTCTGGGCAGGTCCGAAGACATGTACCACGTCACTGCGTGCCGCAGCGGCTGCCACCGTGGCGGCATTGCGTGTGTGGCGCACATGTATGTCTGTATGTGCATGTGTATGTATGTATGCGGATCCCTGAGTTTGCCCCGGTGGGGTGTATGGACCGGTGGCCTGGGGTGAACTCCGGTGGATGGGTGGGTATGGTAGGTGGTAGGTGCTACACACGAAGAGGGAGGACGCGTCAAACGCTGGCAAGGCGCGACGTGGCAGTACCACCCAAGTGCGGCTGGTTGGGGTATGGCGGCAGAAACAGAGAGAGATTTGGGAGTTAGCTCTGCTGCTGGCGTCCTGCTGCTGCCCCAAGCACAAAGAAGGGAAGACATGGAGGGGAGCATAAAGCTACACAAAAGAGCCAAGCTCCTTGCACGTGGCATCATATCCATGCGTGTGAGCCAGCTTGTGTTTAGGATGGTCACGGTCCTAGCCCCTTTGGTCCCGGAAAAAGAGGGGAGGAGGAGGAGCAGCAGTAAGCGTGTTCTCTTGCAACTCAAGAGCGTCTTATCCCCCTTCTTGCCAAATTTGCCTTTTCGTCATCCATCCATCCATTCACCTATCTTGTTGAGAGCGTGTCCTGGTCCTCTGCTCCTTCTCTGTTGGTTCCAACCTGTCCGGTTCATCCGCCTGCATCGTAGCAAATACATCTCGCCTCCTTCCCTTCTTTCACTCCCTCTTATCTGCTTGCGGCTGGATCTTGGCCGATGGGAAGGGGGAATGGTCGAGGCGGAGGTTTACAGGCTTTTTCGGAAATTACGTGGCTTGAGGGGACCTTTCTTGCGCGTGCACCTTGTCTCGCGGGTTTAGCCTGTCAGTGGAAAGTGTGTACGTGTGTACGTCTCTCTGGGATGCCTGGCTAGGCGTTCCATCTTGGTGCTGGGTAGTGCGCGGGGATGTGGCGGCTCCGTGGCTTTTGGTTTTCGCTGTACCCATACGGTTTGCTGTGCATATGGTTGCGTATGTGTATGGGGAGGTGAGGGTTGAAAAAAGGTATCGGTAAAAATGTCTATAGGGGAGATGACAGGACACGAGACTTTGTTCGTTGTGTGTTACAACACGTGGTACCTGGCGGTTTGTATCTGTGCGTGCGTGTCGTCTTTGTGTATTTACAGTATGGGCTTTGGGCGGTATTGGCGGTGGACTCCTTGTTGGTTCGGGAATGGTGAGTTCGGTTGGGTCAACAATAAGATTGGGGATGGGCCGGTGTGGCGTTGCGAGGGGCGCGCAGACAGACTTGGAGGTTGTTTTCGAGGGGGATAGCGTCACGACAGGCATGTGTTTTATGATGCAGATCATGTACCGGGAGAACCGGGCCTGTCCTTCATTCACATTTGTTTTTACTTTGCTGCTCGTGCTGCGGTTGTCGTCACACGGCAGCTGTGGCTATGGCTTTGGACGAGACAAAAAGATGCGACGAAAAGAATCGAACCTGCCCGTCCCTCGTGAAGGTGTGTTACTTACAAATGCATGCAAGCAGCGGTGCCCTAAGGCCAGCGCGTCAACCTGTAGGCTTCTAGGCAAGAAAAGAAAACGTCATTTCAATAGCAACGAACGGGGGAGCGAAGTGTAGTAGCTGGCCGCTGGAAAGGCCTCTCGAGAAGCTGGTTGACGCGCTTAGCGCGTATTTGTACAGTGTACCGGCTACTACACGAAGCAATGAAACAAAAGATCGCTCGCATCCATGTTGACTGATGAAAAAGTACTAAAAGCACAAACACATTATTTTAAATCTAACAGTTAACTGTACATGACTAACTCTCCGTATTCCACTGAGCAACAGTAGCGCCATACCTCCTGCCTCATGCAACTTCTGTGTCAAGCCTGTCGTACAGATCTTCCGGCCCCGGAACCAGATCCTGGTCGGACTCGGGCAGACACGACCACATCACCAGCACGTAAGTTTGCACCCAATGGTCTCGGAAAGACCGGGGGGGAAATGGAAATGCTACGTCGGTTGCCGTCCCCATGCCGTTGGACTCGGCTTTCGCTGTCGCCACAATCGTGTCGTCCTCACGACCGCCGGCACCCTCGTCCGCGCCGCGAAGCTGCCGAACAGTTTCTCCTTCCGCCGCTGTAACTAACGCCGTGACGGGCGGCGGCGGCGGCGGCTGCGGTTGCAAGCTCCTGCAGGCCTGGATAGGCGCCGCCGAGCCCACGTGCCGCCAGGCGGAACCGAAAGGCAGCGCGGGGACGATGTCGCCCGCATTCTCAAGCCTCAGCGTGACGTCATGCCTGGGGCACAAATACACCGCGTACGAGCCGTACGGGTCGGACGCGGCCCGAACCGTTTGCGTTGAAGAATTGGAAGGAGCGGAATAATAGGGCCTCGGGAAACGGCGTTTCAGGCGGAGGGTCTGTTTAGGAACACCTCGGTCAATACAGGTTTGCGGGTAACGCAAGAAGGATTTTAGGGTTGGGTTTTAGGGTTTTTGGTTTCATTACCTGCTAATTACCTTCACTCCACAACTTTCATCATACATGCATTTGCATTTTTCCTGTGTTCATCAAGATTCCACCTCCATTGCCTCCATACTCATTAACTCACTTCGCGTTTAATCCATCGCAAAGACCAAAAGGCAGGACAGCAGTGGCAGAGGCGAAAACCCAACTCGCCCAGAAAACTTGAAATTCGATAGCACTCCCCTTAACACGTAAACGCATTACCGTAAACGCATACCCAAGGCGCACGGAATAGTACAACGGAAATCTCCATCTCTCCCGCTTTCCCGATGCGCGCGCTGGCATTCACAGGGTGTGATGCGATGACATATATAGCGCGCGCGGGAAAGCAACTGCAGGGATGGGGTCACCCGGAGATGCCGTACACAGGACCTGGAGGAGGCGGGGCCGCTCGCACTCACAACTTGTAGGCCTGTTCCCAGGTGTGATCTCCCGCACGGGGGCAGCCGAACGTGTAGACGCCGGTTGGAGTCAGACCTGTACACACACAAACATACACACAAACAGGTGTTAAGGGGGGTGGGTGATTTGGGGGTTTCTGGGAATCCACTTCCAACCGAAACCCCCTCCCCGCAACCCCTCCTCCTCCCTCCCTTCGTTAGCCTTCCATACACACACATACACCCAACCCCGTCTCTGTCCACCTTTCCGCGTGCCATTTTTTGCCAGACAGCAAATCAGGAAATCAGCCCCGGGGATCAATACGAGTATGAATGCACGTAGCCACGTATGTATGTAATTACTTCACTATTCACCTTCCTGTACGGCAAGATACGACGCTGCCATGAGCGCTACTGCGCCACCCAAGCTGTGGCCGAACACCCACAGCCGTGGGCTGTGGCCATCGTGGCCGTCATCGCTGACGACGCTGCCGTACGCGCCGCTCCCGCGGCCGCCAACGGTTGAGGGAGCAACTGCTGCCGCTGCTGCGGCGGCTGCCTCAGTCGCCGTATCCATGGCAGCGCGCACTCGATTTATGATGTGTCGCCGATTGGCAGCGAACACCTTTTGTTAGGTGCGTAACACGATAGCCAGCAAACCAGGCGACAGCTAGTCGAACATTTTTCAAAGAGGATAGGCAAAGATGCTATAGGTGCGACCGGGGGAAAGCGGTGTTCCGCCGTACCGCCTTTGCGCGCATCGAAGTAGGTAATGGCAGGTAGTGGTGAGGGATGTCCCCGCCACCGTGGCAGCAGATCCCCCCCTGCGTAATACACACATACATACATACAAACATAGCACGTACGCACACACCAAGACAAAAGACAAACAGACAAATAAACAAATGCAAAACGCATGTACAGACACACGCTTGAGGAAAAACGCGGGGCTTACCAAACATCAAACAACTAACGGTCATAAGTACATCAACACCTAGACGAGAAGGCTCCGTCCAGCGATGTTCGCTTTTGCGACTCAGCTTCCCGATTCACCTACGCCATTGCATCGGCCCTACCTACCTTCTTCAAAGGATCGCAGCTCCTCCGTCTTTCCAAAAAGTAGAGTCACATGTTAATACGCAGTTGACCGCACACACACACACACACACATACACACACGCGCGTGGGCGCGCGTTGCGCACGTGCTCCCCCCCCCACACACACACCTGGTAAAACCCTTGCGCCACATTCGTGCCCCGGACTCCCCCGCCGAAATCTGCCACATTGATACGACGGAAGGAAGCCAGGTCTGCGGAGAGAGAGAGGGACACCGCATTAATTGGATTGCGGGGGAGGGGGGCCCGCAGGGGTTTGCGAACGTCGTGTTGGGCTGCGAACACATTGGGAAGGTGGCGGGAGAACCGCGACGAGTGCCGTACCGGTAATCCAGTTCTGCGGGCTGTTGGATCCCCTCACTACCAGCATTACTGATGGCCCCGCTCGGACCACTGCCCACACTAGAGCCTCAGCACCCGCCGCCACCCTGCGACGGGACCCGGCAGGTCTGGGTGTCTTAGCGCGTGTATGCGTTCGTGTTCGGGTTGTGTGTGGCTGGGCAGTGGGATTGCGATTTCGGTTTAGCGTGGCTGCTTGTGCGTTTGCGGTCGAGACCTATGTGGGCGGATTGGTTTTTTTGAAGGGTTTGGGTTTTAGTGGTTTTAGCGATGAGGTGATTTGGACAGCGCCTGTTGGTTGCTCGTGCTCTTGCCCACTTTGCCAATGTGCCTCCCATTCCTCAATATTTTCTTCTCAAAGGCAGCTCTCGCTTCGGACGGCCTCTTCCCCTTCTTCTCTGCATTCCACTCTACTCCGCTTTGCTCGGCTGTGCATTGCAGCACTGTCCATTGACCTCTGCCTACTCCTTTGCCTCCAACTCTGCAATCTACTACTACGCTGCACTCCATACCACACCTCAACCTGCCGTCCAATCCCTAGTTACCTGGCCAGTTCGCACAGTCGACACTGCTTCGCTTGACCACTCACTCGCAATCATCGGCGCCCAGGTGGACCATAGCGCGGCAAAATAGCTGCGCGAAGAGAGTGAAGTTATGGCGCGCGGCTCGACCGGCATGTGGCTCAATCACGTGCTTGAAGTACACATCCTTGGATAGCAATGCAGCTATGTAGGCGTTGCGGCTGGTGGAATGGCCGGGACTCCAGGCGCCGTTACGAAATACGGCAGGTATAGCTGATCGTGTGTACGGCGGGGTTTCATGTGTAGGAGCAAGGAGTGCAAAATCTTGAGAGTGATTTCCGAAGTAATGAATCCGTGTTTGATATGTCGTCGGGGCAGGGCTAAGTAAGAAATCTGTTCAAGCAAGTTGCTAGCCTGTGAATAAACCAGGAACGAGGTAAGATGCTGATAAGCATAGCACTACTGGGATCCTTTTCACAACTACGTTGGGGAATGTTTTGGGCAAGAGCGAAACAACAAGGCTTTTCGGGTTACAGGGGTATCAAAAGGCCTCGGTAGCGGAGTAATAAGAGTTCATTGGAATATGGGAACATGGTACGGCATGTGTGTCGTACGAGTTCGTGCTCTGGGCCGCTGCGACACCCCAGAGTGTTAGGGGAAGCGCTCTTGCAAGCTAAGGAGGAATGACTTCCTAGGTTGTCCCCATACAGTTTGTAGTGCAGTTCATTCACGTGTGGCTCCAATTACTGCACACTTGTCTTGGATGGGATTTGTGGCCGCAAGGCAGGTTTGGGATGGCAAAGGGGAGCCCTGACACCTAGGGGACAAATTGAAGTATTGCAGAAGGACGCAGGATAATCAACAGTATTTTAACAGATGTATTTTCACCCGGAAATATATCTTGTGGGTCGGAGATGGAAGACATGTGCACCACAAAAGCTATGCCGTCTCGGGTTGGGTTGAGGGTGCGGTAGTGTGAGGAATTGGGAAACATGTGCAACAAGCAGAGGACCGAATTGGAAGTCGGGAAGAGGATGGTCCGCCAGCCGCTGTCGTGGCAAGTGTGGCCTTGGCTATGGGGCTTGGCCGTAGCCTCAGCGGAGACGAACAGCTTCGTAAGGCCGCCCAGAATTCAAGGGAGAGCGCGACCGGTTATCGCACCATAACTTGTTGCAGCATTACCTTGGCTAGTCGATGGTTCATTTCTCTCTCCCTTGAAGGATTTGCAGTCAGAAGCCGAGAGGGACTCATACCAAACGCCATCTAGCTGCTGCGCTTGACGGGCCTCAGCCGCAGCAAGAAGCATAACCACGACCACAGCCATGGCCATCAAGGTGGACCGGCCGAGTCTCATCGCGGCGCCTGCTTCGGGATTGCAGGAAGGAGCCCAGCTAGTATTGCGCGCAAAATGGCGGCACATCACAATAATTTCCTCCAAAATCGCCAATGCTTACAAGGAATATCAGGTTATGCTACATAGGACTTGCCGTTTGCGTTCCGGGACGACTTGGGAGCCCGCGGAACGGAATCCGGAATTACCTTGTTCCGCCTACCGGAAGTGCGGTCCCCGTGCCGGGCAAAGCTTCTACGCGAACCTAGCTGCCTGCCGTATCTGGTTATACTTGGAAGACAGATTGGCTCTGTCTTCTGGGCACCAAACAGTACCTAAAGGGCGCCCTGCCCGCTTTCGATTTGCAGTGCCAACCGGGAAACCAGAGGTCACTGCTATTTCGTTGGGGGAAAATTTATATCCAAACCCAGGTCATAGCACTGACCGCGTCCATGAATAAAGGTATTAGAGGTGCATCTCGGGTGTTTTCCAACAGCTCTGCCCCGCGGGCCCATCACCTCATTCGTCCGAAAACCTAACGGGGCTCGCTACATTGAACAAGGACTCAGCCCTTCATGAAAGAATTAAATCCTCTTATTGCTAGGAAACGCCTGGAAGCTAGGTCGAAATTTAAGAAAACCCGAACACACCTGAACGCACTTCGTCTTTGCCGAATGCTTACTACGCCTGCCATATTGCTCTTTGTAAGGCCTCTTGCATAAGAGCTTGTTTCTTGACCGGCCGGGCATTTGTATTGAGACCATCGTATCGGCTTGGAGACGTTAAGCTCGCAGCAGGCAGGCGCATCAGCTTGAGATGCAGCGTCTTGGAGACTGAAGCTAGAGACGCTGTAAGGCTTCATTTCAAGGAGCTTGCAAGCTGCTGGTGAAACGAGAGCAGAGCGGAGTGCTCCGCGGTTCCACAGGCCATACTTCACAGACAACACAAACAGCAAGATTGACAGCAAGGCCTTAATCTTTTGTCTGTCCTGCGGGACATGGCAAGCAACCCAGGCGGTGCATCCGACCTTCATGGCACCACCGACGCACGGGCGGTGGCGATGCTGGACCAGTCGCCGGCCATCATGGATTCGTCTGAGGCAATGGACGTTGACCAACAGCATCATACGGCAGCTCTGGCATCCCACTTGACTGCCACCGTTCACCGACAGCACCTCGAGGGGTCAGCCTTCCCCCTTTCCCAAGACTTTCAGCCACAACACCAGAACCTGCAAGCGCAGAGGCTGCTACTACGTCACGGTCCTGCCTCAGCCAATTTGCAGCACGAGCAACCTTGCCAGGCGGCATCCGGCTCCGGTCCTCCACCGTCTTGTAGCGCGTCTGCCGTGGCCACGGCCACGGCCGCGGCCGCGACTTCCCTAGTCTCCGCCTCAGTCTTTTCCGGCTCCTGTGGCGGTGGTCATCCTTCCGGTCCAGCTGGTGGCCATTTGGGTTTCGGAGCAGGCAACCACCCAGATGGCGGCGGTTGCGGCAGCGCAGCGTCGACTCCTGGATGGTCCGCACCCTCACCTACCCCCTATCACCCACACGCTGCAACCCCCCCACCGACCATACACATGCACACGCTAGGAGATGGGTCGCAGGCGTGTGGGAGGACCGCTTACGACGTGCCGGCCCCAGCCGGGTGGCGACGGTCCCCTCCAGCCCCGGTACCCACAGTTGCAGCGGATGCCTGTGGGATGGAGCTGCCCGGCTGCAGTCACGAAGGAGCGGGAGGCGGCTGCGGCAGGGAAGGGGGGGACGGGGAGGAAGCAGCTGAGGCGCGTCAAGCGGGACCCTCCACAGCACCAGCGCCCGCACCAGCGGGGCCAACCACCTCTGGCAGGGGCTTGGCAGCGGCGACGCCACCAATAGCAACAGTGCGGCCGGTGTGTCCGTACATGGAGTACGACCCGTACACAGCTGCTCATGCACCCTTAACGTCGTTCTATTCCTACACGTTGGCAGAAGGTGCGGCCGAGGAGGGCTACGACGAGGACGAGGACGATGAGGGCTTTGCGGGGCGGGGGTATTGGGGGGAGGAAGACGATGGAGGCGTGTGGTCCGAGGATGGGTTGGGGCTACAAGCGGAGGAAGACGCGGGCGCTAGGAAAGGTTGGGAGGTTGCAGCAAGGGATGATGATGATGATGATGATGATGCAGTGATGGCGCATGAGGACGTGTCTGCTGCAGCGGCAGCTGCACCAGCAGCAGCAGCAGCAACAGGGCCTGGCGGGTCCGGTACCGGCTGTAGCTGTCACCCAAGCACCGCAGCGCAGCTACAGCCCGGGCGACAGGGCTTCGCGGACGTCAGCAGAGCTGCACCCCCGATGGCTACTGGAATCGGCGACGCTGCCGACGCCGACGCTGACGCCGCGGCGTACGGAAGTACGGAAACCAGCGGTTCGGAGGACATGAACGATGTTGATTTAGCTTATGACAAGGATGAGGAAGATGACGATGACGAGGACGATGACCGTCTCCTGGACGGTGGCGCCGAAGCCGCCGCAGCGATCATCGAGTCGAACCGCGTTGGCGACATGTTGGCGGCGGCAGCGGCTGCTGCTGCTTCGCCGCCGCCTCATAGGAATCTCTGGGCGCGGCAAGTCAACAGTGCCTGGTACGCACATCGCCTACACAGCCCACCCGCTGGGGGCAGCGGCGGCGGTGGCGGTGGTAGCGGTGCGCCGCGCATGGCAGGCCAGCGCACCCCCCGGGTACTGTTATACCGCCGTGGGCTTGCAGGCAGTAATGTTAGAGCCAAGCCGGCTGCTAACGAACGCAATGCTGGGAGCGGCGGTGCTGGCGTAGGTTTTTCAGGAGCGGCCGCTGGCCCTAGTTCTGCCGGGCCGGGCCCTAGTAGTGCACCCGCCGCCGCCGCCGCCGCCGGGGGGGCGGCCCCCAGCGGCAGCGCCGGGTCGTGTCTGCAGTACCGTCTGGGCCCCGAGTACGTTTCCGTGGATCCTTGGAGTGAGGACGAGGAGGAGGAGAATGACACGACGGCAGAGCAGTACTACGCGGCAGGGCAGCCAAAGGTATGTAGGAAGATGGATCGTCTCAGAGGATTCCTGTAAATTCCCTTCAGGGGCCAAGCACAGAGGGGTACATTTGGAAAGGAAAAAAAGGGGGCACACGCATGAACGAACTGCAGAAAGCAAACACTTGGGGTTTTTGAAGAGAGGAATTAGATGCTGAGAGAGAGCTGAGGGGGTCGGGAAAGGATCAAGGGGAGGGGAACCGCGGCCCAAATTGACCGACACAGGCGGCGGCAGTTGTCTCTGCTTTATTTAAATTTGGTTTTGTCATCCTCATGAGACAAGAGGGTTCTGAGGCAGTTAAAGCTACCGGCGCCTCTGGAGGTTGCCTGGGTGGCAGAGAGCCCCCAGGAGACCTGTATAACTTGCTTACTGAGCTGGCACGCGGATAAGAAATGACGTTGATGTCCAGCGGGGGGATCTGGTTATGTCTCTGCTGCGCTGTGGTCGTGTCTTGTTTTGGTCCGAGAATGCTGCTGCTGCGGCGGCGGCGGCGGCGACGTGATGAATGTGTGCTGTTTTGCGCGGCTAATCGCGAGTTGTGCTAACAGGCAATAGCTGATAGCCCTGATAAATAAATATATGTATATATATACACTATAAATACACTATATATATACACTATAAACACTATACACTATAAATACACTATATATATAAATACACTTCCGTCCTTTCATCACTCCACTCTTATCAGCATCGCGTCCCTCATGTCTCTCCCCTGCTTTACATCGCGGTCCTACCTCACCTTTCCTTTTCATCACGCATGACGTCATGCTGACGTACTGATCACGCTTCTCATGTCACACCATGTCACCTCCCGCGCGCCGTCGCATTCCTTTCCGTGTCCTCTCCGGCACCTCACCTCACCTCACCTCACAACCGCATCAGGACATCCAAGGCATCCCCTGGGAACGGCTCCAGTTCAACCGCTCGACATACAGAGAAACGCGCCTACGCCAGTACCGCAACTATACAAACGTTCTGCCTGACAACAACGGCGGCGCCTACCGAGCCGAGCTCGCGCCTCTCTGCGCCGCGCCGCGGCGCGCCGGAACTGCCGCCACCACCGCGCGTGGACCGCCCTTCTTTACCTTTGTCCGCAACAGTCGTGCCGTACAGTCCAACATCGTACATTTCCAGCTCCGGAACCTAGTCTGGGCCAGCAGCCCGAACGACGTGTTTGTTGTGCACGACAACTGCGTCAAGCATTGGAATCCTGCAGCGCGAACGATAACGGAGGTTTTGAATCTTGGGGGTGGAGGTGGTGGAGATGGTGGAGGCGGAGGCGGTGGCGCCGTCCACCGCGCCGGTGACGACATCAGTCGTATTCGGTCCCTTGGACGAGTGCAAGTAGGTTGGGAACATCTTTATGTAGGTCTGTCCTTCTCAAGGATGTTCTTTGGACCTGGACATCGGCAGCTGATTTGTTTTTGCATCACTACCACCATCATCATCACCATCATCATCACCATCATCATCATCACCATCATCATCACCATCATCATCACCTTCATCATCACCACCATCATCACCATCATCATCACCTTCATCATCACCATCATCACCACCACCACCACCACCATCATCATCACCATCATCATCATCATCATCATCATCATCATCACCTTCATCACCACCATCATCATGCGATTCCCTCCTCTCCCCCTAAGCGTCTTCATTAGTAGTACAGTCTCAGCTACGTTCCGTCCTGTGTTTGTTACCGCTCAACCCAATGCAGTTAGGGTCTGGTTCAATCCTTTGTGGTCCCAAAGTAATTGGGGTTGGGCAAGGGGTGGGGCACTCGCTTTTATATCTGTTTTCGCTCCGAAACTGGAGATGCCTGCATGACTACTCCAATTGCTGTTTGCCGTGCTAACGCGGTGGTGGTGGTGGTGGTGGTCGTTATGCGCAGGTCAGCACGTTGTGTGTTTCTGGCGACCTAGTTGCTGCGGGTGGCTTCACCGGGGAGCTCGTGGTGAAGCGCCTCAGGACCGTCACGGACGCTGCGGACGCCGACGCAGCGGCCGCCGGGACCGCTTTTGCACGTGGCGGCGGCGGCCGCTTCGCGCCCGCCGCGGCACGCACCCACGGCGGTGCTGGTGCTGGAGTAGCGCCGCCATGGCCCATGGCCCCAAACCGCGGTGGCGGCGGTGGCGGCGGCGGCGGCGGCGGGAGGACAGGCAGCGGCTCATTGCTGTACTGCGGCCGAATTACGTCCAGGTGAGAAAGAGCCCTTTGCCGTACACCGAGTCTCATCTTGGTCCTGTCTTTTCCGATCCTTATTACTCGTTCTGTGAACCCCGTCCTGTGCTGTCCCTTCCCGCCCTTCCCGCCCTCAGCGACAACGGTATCACCAACGGTCTGGAGATATTCAACGATCGAGCCCACGGGACCGTTATTATGTCGGCTAATAACGACCAGAAGTTGCGGCTTTTTGCGGCGGCGCATGGGGAGGGCAGTTTGCGGCCGTTGGCTCAGTGGCCGTTTGACTGGGCGGTTAACTACGCGACCATAAGGCCCCATTCCCATTTGGCGGCGGTGGTTGGGGACGATTCGGCCACGTTGCTCAAGGACGTGCACAACGGTGGGTGGGGGTCGATCTGCGTGCCTTGCTTCATGAGTCGATGGCAGTGTGTGTGCATGCATTTGCATGCATGTATGTATGTATGTATGTATGTATGTATGTATGACTTAGATTACACTGCGGGCCGCGAGAGCCGGGGGCCGAAGCCGAAACACAGCGCAAGGGTCGGGAGCACACAGCACAAGTATGTATGTATGTATGTATAATCTTGGCACGCACCGTTAAGAAGGAACCGTCGGCCACGTCAACAACACACGTGGGGATCAGCGAGTTAATGTCCTGTGTGGGAAGATTTGTGTGCGCACGCGCGCGCGCGTGTGCGTGTGCGTGTCACTGTTTAGCATTCATCCGGGCCTGACGCTGGCCAGGGGGTGCACCTAACCGTACCGTACAAACCCCTTAACGGGAATGAGCGACCGCCGAAGCTCTCTCCCCCTAGCGGCGGAAGGGGAGGCGCGGGAGGGGCCGGCCCCACAGTCCCCTAGTACTGCTCGTCCCAGGGCGCGCAACCCACCCGGTGTCCATCTACCTCACTCATATATTCGATGATGAAAGAGCGCACGGTGGCTACGAAGGCCCTCTCACAACACAACCAACCTCAGCACACGCTGTGTGCGTGCGTGTGTTTAGGGGGCGGCGCCCGAGAGGACGAGAAAAGAAAGTATGGCCGCGTGTGGCTAAAACCGTACCTGCGGGTTTGCTAGCTAGGGGGGAAGACCCTAAGTTTTAACTTCCAACTGGAGTGTATGGTAAAAAGGGACACACCGCTGACTGCTCACCCCCAACGCCGCCTCCTTGTTGTCCCGTCTGCTCCTCCTCTACCCTCTCCCTTCCTTCCCAGGCGCCGACGTGGCTCGGCTGGAGGGTCATCAGGACTTCTCCTTCGCCGCCTCCTGGCACCCCGGCGGGGTGCTGCTGGCCACCGGCAACCAGGATACCACCACCTTGGTCTGGGATGTACGACAGACGAGGGAGCCGCTTACGAGGCTGGCGGGAAGGTATGAAGGGATGGGAAGGGACGGGGGGAATGGGGTTGGGATGAGAGGACGTTCGACCCATCGCCGCACGTGGGGAAGGGGAAGGGGAGGTAGGAAGGGGAAAGGGTGGTAGGAAAGGGGAAAGGGTGGTAGGAAAGGGGAAAGGGGAGGTACGTGAGGTGGGTGAAGGAGTTACGATGCCGGATTGGGACATCTGAAGGTTCTAGAGGTACGGCGGGTTGGGGTTGCTCGTGGCAGGCTTCCAGGTTCCCCCCGTCCTTCCTTTCTTCCTTTCTTCCCAGCTGAATGAATTGGTGAATGGTGGAATGATTGGGATCATTGTCAGGATTGATTGGTCCTGGCCCGCCCACATGGGGCTTGGAATGTTTTGACAGTGTACCCTCGGCTTCGTGATTAGGTTCAACCCCCCACTACCCCCCATATGCAAATATCCGCCATATACACGCACGTGACACACCTCAGGATGGGCGCGATTCGGTCTTTGCGCTTCACAGCCGACGGCCGCTTCCTGGCCATGAGTGAACCCGCTGATTTCGTACACGTGTACGACGTGGCGAGCGGCTTCCAGGAATGCCAGGTACGTGAAAGGTTGGCGCTTCTTTGGGGAGGGGGGAAGGGAGAATGGGATCCGGGGGGAAAGGCGAACCACGAAGGAATGAAGGAAAGAGTGGGGGAAGGGATTGGTGATGCCGATGTGATTGACCGTATTTTATATCGCGTGCATTGCACCTCACCCCCTGGTTGGGTCGAATGCCTGATTCGGCGGTTTTATTCTTTTCCTGCTATAACCTTCAAGCGCTCTCTTTTGCAGGAACATGACTTTTTCGGTGAGATTGCGGGCATCGCCTTCACGCCTGACTCTTCCAGCCTGTTTGTGGGCATCTCCGACCTCACGTATGCCTCGCTCATGCAGCTGGAGCGCCAGCGGTGTGAGTGGTGGTAGTAGGGGAGGATGATGTGGTGGAGGAGGAAAAGGAGGAGGTGGAGGAGGCCGTGAGGTACGTGGGGATGAGGTGCTGGAGGAGGTGTGGGGACGACGAATGAGATGTTGGGTGACGGTGAAGAAAAACGTGGAGAAGAGTGGCGGTGTTTAAAGCGAGTGGCGAGATCTGCATACTTGGCTATAGGGGCATGCGTGCGTGCGTGTGTGCGAGTGCGTGTGAAGGGCAGAGGGTGGGACAGGGGTGTCAATCAAGGGGGTCAAGATGTGGGTCGGCATTGGGTCAGTGCGGGCTTTTGCTTGGGGAGAGAAGGAAGCTAGTGACGACTGGCAGTCGTGGCGGCAACGTAAGGGTGAGCATGCTTGGTGGCTGCTGGGAAGACATACACGAGATGAGAATAGTGTTTCGCATGTACGCGCGGGAAGGCTGCAAGGTCCTTCTTCGCGAGCTCCGTTCGGTCCCGAAAATGTAATGTAGTCGACCTGTGCGGTGTGTTTTTGTGCAGTGTGTTTGTAACATATGTAGCTGCGAAGTTGATGCCACGTAGTGTGTGGGTTTGCTGATATTGCCCCACGCATCAGCAAAGAGGCGCGCGCGCGTCAATGCATTTCGTCAAGTTGGAGGATTTTGTTGGGGGCTTTGCATGACCATGGTTTAGATAGCTGCAAGGGTAACAGCTGTTGAGGCTGTTAGTTTGGCGGGTCGTGGTCAGGCTTGCGGGGCATGCAACTGCGGCAGTGGCTTTGGAAGAGGGTGTTTTTTGGTGTGGGGGTTGGATTGGACTCGTCGCATTCAACTGTCCGGGTGTCTTAACACTGACATGTGTGGCTGTGCGGCGCTATTAATATTAAAGACCGCATATACGATAGTCAGGCGTCAAGCAAAGCAAGGGACTCCCAGGCCGCTGATAGGGTGCGGACGCGTTTGTCAATGCATTGTGCCCGGTGGTAAGATACGTGTGCCTGTTATATTGGAAAGAACTGGGCGATATTGGAAGCATTTCCGAATAAGTAGGGGAATGGATCGGTAAAGAAGGCGGTTGTCGTACGGTAAGGGGTAATGGCATGACCATGGCAAGGTATTGCAGCGGAGACGCGTGTTTCTCGCACATGACGCACGCATGCAGGGTCAAAATGTTGCAGAGTGGTGGTAATGGTGCATAGAGAAGCGGTGGGTATGAAATACCTGACTTTGCCGCATGCTGGTCTAGACAGTGACTGGGTCAAATGCGGCCGACTGCGGCTCAACAACTTCACTCAAGAGGCGGCCTTTGCGCACCCAGGGCGCGACCAATGATTTACCATAACGCCAATTGCACATGTATATATACCCAGCGTTCCCTTGGCGTCATGGATATCTATTGCTCAGTCGTTGATACGCAATGATGTAAGCAATGGTTCAACATGCTGGTTTTAGCGTACATAGGCCTCACCGCAAGACCACACAGCCAACACCTGTGGAGTACCTCCTTCCCCAACACTCCCGGAAAGCCCGAGACCGCCGCGATGGAATGCGGAATGCGTTGTCCAACCAACATCCATGCGATAGGGATATATATTCACCCCATCAAATGCAGCCGCCTCTGTCTCTCGCAACCGGTATTTCCCCTTCGACCTGACAGCTCCTCCGCCAGGTTTACAGGAGCTAAGAGTGGCAAGAGAACGAAACGCCACACATGCAGGGTGCAGCAGGAGCATCTAGAACATGACGTCCCGACAACCGGCAACATCCCATCTCCCAGCCACATGCAACCAGAGCTTCCGCTACAAAACGACGACAGGCTACACGGCGCTGATGCAGTTCAGAATCAAACTTTGACCACAAGTCATACACACATGCGTCATTGTAACGGTGGAGTGTACCAATTCTAAATGGCGGTAAGCCAGTATGTAGCTAGTAATCTTCATTTTATGGTCCACCACGGCCCATTTTGCCGCCACCCTTTCGCACCTTAGTCCCAAGCCCACCGGCAAAGAATTCGCCTAGAAAATCCCCCAGCTCAGACTTTGCCCAGGCCTTTTGCCTGTCTCACAACAACCCCCACGCTTTCAGTCGACGCGGTCCCCACCAGAGCCCTCCCTCTCACCAAAGCGCCGCTCTCCCCAACACCCTAATGTTGGCCAGACTCTGGACTGAGTTGCAGCAACTGCGGAACTGCCCAATGACACGAACGGGTCGCCCCTACTCCAAGCTGCAGACCTCCAGGCAACCTGATAGGCGACGGCGTCGCCTAGCTAATCCAAGACAAGGCCGCGCTCAGCCCTGGTCACTGCCGCGGCTTGATACTGCCAGTCCTGCTGCCCACACGTTGCATGCAAGCGCGCTGCACTGCGCCGGGGGCCCCTTTGCGTCTTCACACCGCCGCCTGCTGCCTTCACCGCGGAACCCATGCGACACTCCGACATGCACTCCTTAGCAGCAAGAGCTGGATTTGCGTGCATCACCTTCGCCAGGCTTGGCGGCCTGCGGACCGGCATTACCGGCGCCGTACCCGACCTTGATGCCGTATGACTGCGCGGGATAGCGACCGGGAAGAGGCCATATGCAATGTGGGTTATTTTTCATGTGGGTTCCAAATTTACACACTGGATTTGGTGGGCGGCCGCCGGGCCGGGCAAAACGACTGCAGTGGCAGTGCGGATACAACCAAAGTCTTCTGGCCAAGATTGAAGATCACAATCCCATGGGCGAGGGTCGGAACCAAAACGGTAATTATTTCTCCGGCTACTGATATGGCCCCGGCCGCCAAAATTATTACCTCGTTGGAGACGTCGAAAACACCGTCCTGGATCTTCTTGTAAATCTCCTTTGCGGTGTTAATGAAGGCCTGCAAGTGAAAAGAAGGCCCAAATGGGCAGGATTACAAGCCAGGAGACGCCTTCGAAGCAGCAGCACGAAAACCTCCGGGCTCCCACTACAGCTTAGAGTAGGCTGCCCCAATCCTCTGCGAGGAGTTGAGCTGGATGCCTCCAAGGCACACAGCTGGAACGACCCCCACTACTGCACCGCCCTGACTGCGATGGAGGCTATGCGCAACGCAGCGTATCCACTGCCGCGCCACTTCCCTTGCCCCGCCATGCCGCATTGCTCAATGATCATATCGGCTGAAAGGTCCCACCTCGGAGCTGGGTGTTCAGAGCGGAATGGGCAGAGTCCTCCCAAGCCACCCAGGCAAAGACCAGAAGTCCATTCACTTTCCTTACGTAAGGACTACCCCTGTGACATACAGCTATCACTTCGTAGATTGATGTGCACATGGACCAAATAACCTTCTTCCATAGCCATGCCCCGGTTGACGGATTCGACCTTGCTATTGTTCCTAACCCCCTTCCCTCCGCCGGAGATTCCCGTTTAGAAAATGGTACCATCACACCGTTCCCCCTACCCTACCCTACCTCCTCAACGTTGTGGGCTGTCCGTGCAGAAGTCTCCAGGAAGATTAGCCCATGCTCCTTCGCAAATTGCTCGCCCTCCTCCGTCGTTACAGCTCGACGGTGCTATCACAGGCGCGAGGGTAGCAGGCGTGAGGCCCATGTTCCAAATATGAACATGTCATGACAGGTAAGTCACCCTTACCGTAAGATCACATTTGTTGCCAATAAGCATGATGGTCATGTTTGGGTTGGCGTGCTGCCGCGCATCCTCCAGCCAGCTGGCCAGATGGTTAAAGGTCTCGCGCCTACATGACATTTTGAATAAGTACACGCCTACCATAGACTCACAGCTCGCGCGCTTTCCTACCGTGTAATGTCGTAGACAAGCAGCGCGCCAGCGGCACCGCGGTAGTATGACCGGGTAATAGACCGGAAAGATTCTTGCCCCGCCTGAGAAAGAAGTTGTATGTCAAAAATCACTTACACCCTGCTGTGCCCCCTGGACGCCCGAGCTTACCGTATCCCAAATTTGGAGTTTAATTTGTTTGCCATCAATGTTAATCATCCGAGCGCCGAACTCCACGCCAATGGTAAGGTCGTGCACTGGCTGGAAGCGCTTATCGGTGAACTGAAGTAGCAGGCATGACTTGCCGACGCCTATGACAGCCGAGCTTCAAGGTTCAGCCAATGTACCCTAATCCCTAAGAGACATGACAGCAGCTTACCTGTGTCGCCGATGATGATGTACTTGAAGAGATACCTACGGTAAGCAGGAGAAGTGTCCGTCAGGACCATGAACTATGCCGGGCGCACCAAGAGCTTGAAACTCACGCATAAGACATTCTGGCTCTAGAGCGCCAAGCAAATAAGCTGATGCGCCAAGAGACGGGAGGAAGGCAAAGAACTAGGGTGCAACTGTTGAAAGGATCGAGGGAAACGCTTGTAGGAGTACCGTTTTAGTATTATGCGAATTCTTTCACTAAAAAGTTAAGCAAATAACAGGATGATTGTGACGTCTTGGGGGTATTCAATGCAATGACCAAGGAGAAGGGCCCTTGCCGTAGAATGGAAGCAATGCGAAGTGACATCAACCTCCTCCAGCGCATAAAGACGTCTTCGCCCTGTGTACTTTGCAATTCAGATGGAATGGTGTTACAGAATTCATAACTGACAGGTTTAGCCCTTTTCCTTGGACGTCGAGCTTGAGACCTGGTTTCACTTTTCCTAGAGCCCCACACTACATGTGCGCGTAGATCGCGTATTTTGATGCCCTTAGGTATCAACCTGTGTCCAAACAGATCCACTTCTTGGCTGAGCCCTGGCAAGTGGCGTTTGAAGGCGCCCGAGCAGCCATTGCCCTTGCTACCCCCCACCGCTCCCCTGCCCTGACCGAGCTTTCCAAGGCTTGCACGCCAACCCATGCCTCCATCCTCGTCACCCGGCTATCCTCAATTCCATGGTTTTATGAGCCTGCAAGCACACGCTGGACTAAAAACCATTGGGTTGTTTCGCAGGACGTGTCAGGTTATGCAGGTGTGGTGCAAGGAAGGGGTACGGGTTTGGCATCCCCTTGGTTTCCGCGCAGCTTTCCTTTCGCTACTCTGCAGCGCGCCGCAGCCCGTGAATTGGCGCGACAGGCATCCTAAACGTGCGTCTTCTATAGGATTGTTGAGCGTCAATGGAAAGGTAGGCACTGGCGAAAAGGCCGTTGCCTGACATGTCATTCTCCCCGAAAGTCCGAACGCATGCTTGTACCTGTCTGCGACTGCTAGCTTTGCACACGGAGGCAGGCGGGGTGGCTCTTCTTCACCTAGGCAGCAATACCAGGCTACGGGTTAAAAAAGGTTTCATGGGCATTGACGGTTGCCACTAGTCCCACATGAGCTCTAAAGCACCCTTTCATGAAAGGGCGCCCATCCCCTCCGCCCTTTGCCTACAATAAAAGCACGACGCGCGCCTACCAAATATGGTAGGCGGCTACACATGTTAGTTTGGGGCCCGCGGACGCTGCAGTACGATGCATGTTTGGAGTTTCAGAGGAAAGATGTACACATGTGTCCTTTAGGCAGCGGGCAGCTAGACACCCCTACCCATTCACAGCTCTCAAAAGTACTGTCACAACATTTTAATCTGCCATACGCACGTGTTTTGTCGATGCTACAGTCGTATGATGCGACAGCACGGGAAATCTTTGAGGCACCGCCAATAACGGGTATCCATGGATAACTGGTATTTCAAAAGGACACTTACTATGCTTTTCGCATGAACTGGCTTGAATCTTGGATCAATAGTGAAGGGGGAAACACATGCTTTTACCCACAAAAATCCATAAACCCCTCATGCAAGTTTTAGTTTTTCATCGCAGAACCTCCATCCGTGTTTATTGGTGTAGCAGTCAGACTGTCGGAAGGCCGTCTGGTGGCTGGATTAGCGCTTATTCCAGCCGCATCTTCTGTGCATGCACGCTTTGCACAAGTGACGGCAAGTTGGTGTCCCCCATACGCGTTGACGAGACGAGGCGTCCAAGGTCTATGGGCTAGGTGAGCTGCTGAGCTCTGGGCGTATGTTCCGGGAGTTTGGGACGGACCCAAGACAGAATGCAAAGACCGAGTCCGGCAGCCAGCGGAAGGACATGGAGGAAGAGGTACAGAGGGAGAGGCATCGGTCCCATTAGGTTAGCAAACCAACCTGCGGCACGGCATCCATTACTATATCATTGTGCACTCCTTATTCCCTGGTCACGGGGTTGGGGGTTTGGGAGTTAGCAAATGTGTCAACCATCTGAAGACTGCCAAAGTGTTTCAGGACGCTGGGAGTAACACCATAGGTAATAGTGATTACTTTAGTGATGCTTTAGCGGCGATATCGTGAGTTATGTATCTGGTGCGGAAGCCAGAAAGCAATACCTGCCAACTTATTCATCAATGAAACCGTACGGTACGTCCAGGTACGGTCGCTCCGGAACCTCGCTTCTCCGATTGCCTTAACATCAATAGCTTTGTCTACAGCATACGTGAACAGTGGGAAATAACTGATCGTGTCATAACTTATTTAAAATGTGGTTTTATTTGTTTCTGTGTCTTTTTGTGCCAAGCTTCTTAACATATGTAGTTCAACATCTCATCTGCGCAGTTTTTTATAAAACGCAAAATTTGAAGAAACGATATAATGCTCAGTGGGCCCTTGTAACTGGTGCCAGCTCCGGTGCGACTTGCAGTGGTGTCTTACAGCAGCCGTCTGTTCGCACCGCTATCTTGGATTAGATCCTGCATCGTTTCCTATGGGATCGTATGCTCCGGATTTGAACTTGCAAGGCACACGATCAACCCCTGCGCGCCTTTTTGGGACCGCCACTTGACAATATCAATTCTGTGACAGCAGATGGCCTTGACAAGCTCGTAACGCTTTCACGTTGCTGATCAAAAATGTGTTCCGGGGGCAGGTATTGGCAAGTCCATCGCAACGCGTCTGGCGCGACAGGGGCTCAACGTTGTGCTTGTGGCGCTCGGAGATCAGCTGCTTGACACTACGTTTGAGGAGCTCAAAGCGACATATCCTCAATGTCAATTCCGCAAGGTACGTAGCCGCCGTAAATGCCAGCCCACACTGTACGGCATACTGGTAAACGACTCATCCTTCCGCCTTGGTACCCGCCAAAACGCATGGACTGTCTTCACTAGCTGAGGACCTTGCTTAGACAGATGATCTTAGTACATCTGGCGTCAAGGCCAAAGCCTGTGTTGTCGCTTAGAGCCCTTCATATCCTTTGGTGTCTCGAAGGATATATACCCAAAGGGAAACTTCCTGGCCCAGGTCAACCCAGGCCCAGGCCCACTGGCATTGCTTTCTGGCCCCCACGCTACAACTTATGTGTAAGATCCTTGGTAGTGTCCGAGATATCCATCTGAGACATCTTGCAGTGGGCCCTGTTTTGGAAGGTGGATACAACAACTTTGATAAATTCGCGTTGCATGCGATGCGTGAGGGAGTCAACCTGCTGTCGCACTCGGTTGTTATGTCGGCCCCTAATGACCGTAAACGCAACGCCCTACGCACCAACGTCGCAGGTGCCCGCGGATTTGGGCGGGAATGAGTACTTGGGCCCTATCATCGAGGCGACCAAGGACATCCGGGTGCAAATCATCTTCTGCAATGCGGGCTACCTCCTCACGGGATTCTTCCACACGAGGTAAGCTAGCTAGCTAAGGGACATGGGGCTGGCGTGATGGTGCTGCAGGACAGTTTTTCACACCCGCGCGAGCGACATCCAGAATTTTGCGCGCTATCCTGGATGCCCCGCTCGCGTAAAGGAGGCATCCATTAGGCGTGACGCACCGTACATGACCAAGGTCCAATCGTCCATGTGCCCGTGCCAAGTATCAGCTATGATAAGTTACGGCTGACCACGTGCAGCCTATCCTCGCGGCTGGCTCGGCGTTGGTCGTCGGTTGCACGGTGTGCCCCCAAGTTATCCATAGCCCCCTAAAATCCAGTACGTAAGTCCGGTACGTACGTACGTATGTATGTACGAGGAAGCGCCCAGCATGATGCCTGGTGCACCACAACGGTGTCCAGGGGAGCGTGCTTCGGGCCTCTGCTTTTCAGACAAACGGACAAAGGTCCATATGATATGATCTGTCCACATAATCTGTGGTTCCGTCGGCTGGGAATCAGGATAGGCGGTTACCGTTTGCGGTTACAGCGTGGCTCTTAACTCTGCGGCAGCCCGCGAAGCCAGGAAGCCAGAGGTTAGAACCAGTAGGGCTGTGGCCTGTGGCGTGTCGGTTTCTTATCCTGTGGTGGGTCTGATCGGTCTGGACGGTGCGGTCGGTTTTCTTCCTTGGTGGGTAAGAGGGCTTCCCATGGTGACGTATCATTCCGCCTGGCCAGGAGAGGCGGGTCCTTGGTATTTATTTGGTGTTCATTCCCTGGGTGTATTCGTTAGAGCTTTTGTGTGTGTGCTAGAGCTGAGGTGGCTTCAGGCTCCCTTGCAGCCTCAAGTCAGTTATTGGTTAAGTTGGTGGGGACCCACCGTGGCCGGCCAGGTTAGAACTGCACCACGTGCGCTTAAGGCAGGGCGGCTGAGCGGCAGCGCGGCAGACGTTGCTTGGGTGGAATGATATATCGTTGTGGTAGGCCCTCTTATCCTGCCATGGAGAGCGTTACCTGAGCCTGGACTGTGTGAGGTGCATTATGGGTAGCCTTCCCGCTCCCCTCTAAACCTACATTTGGTATTTTTTACGTCGCAGGCCTCTTGACGCGCTCATGAAGAATCTCAACTGTAATGCGGTTAGTGCCGTACAGATCACCCACCATTTCGTCCAGAGCATGGTAGGTGTTGGTGTGTCGCTCGGGGAAAAATTCACTGCGCACGAGGGCATAATGGCGACGCGATGATGCTTATGAGTTCTGGGTTTGTTTAGGGGGTTTCGGGGGGTAGGACGCACGAGTGCGCGGGTGCACGCAACCCGAGGAGCGCCATATGGCCTTCTCCTACATAGCGTACCAATGTCCTGTCGATTGGCGGCGTCCCCCATCTTTGCAGCTGACCCATAATGCATATTGCCAGTTTGTCACTTTCCTTTCCGCTTCCTCCCTCAGTCAAAAGGTGTGACCCTCAAGTCAGACCCTGGCTCGGTCTAACGCGCGTCCGGTTATTGACCTTAGGAGAGAAGAGGGTAATGGGGCGGTTCTTCTTTCCTTAAGCCTTTCCGTCCCTGCCCTATCCCGTCCCTTTTCGTCCAGATTTCTGCGGGCTTGCGCGGCTGTGTCGTGTTCACCAGTTCGGCGGCCGCGGCTATACCGTCACCCTTCTCCGTACAGTACGCCGCCACCAAGGCCTTCATCTCCGTGTTTGGCGCCTCGCTCGCTCCCGAAGTGCGGCCCCACGGTATCGATGTGTTGGTCTTCCATCCCTCCCCGGTCGCCTCCAGGTGAGTCTGGGGACCGCCTGCAGGAGAGGGAGGCAACGTAATCTGCGCCCAAGCAAAACGTAATCCCCAGGTGGTCAAGCTAACCCTTTGACAAGGAGGAGTGTGTGTAATGGACAGGCCGTGTATACGAGACACGAGAGTCTTTCCATACCATGCTACTCCCCATGGTGGTCAAATTGCATGACGTTCACTGTGTTCTCCTTTCTCGCGCGATGTTCAGGTTCTATGATAAGGCCCACAAGCTCGACGCATTGGACTTTTTCAAGCGCTTTGCCGTACACCCTGACGAGCTGCCGGATACTGTGTTCGCCAGCGTGGGCCGCACCGTGTGGCGGGATGTGGGACCCACCGCCCTGGGCTTCCGGCTTGCGACGAAGGTGCGCTTGGTGCAGTGGGCAGGCGCTTTAATTGGGCGAGTACATGGGTCATCATGGGCAGCGGAGAGAGGGGGTGGGTGGGGATCCTTAGGTGACGCCAGGCTAGCAATCTGGGGTATTCGGGGGTCGTGGACCCATTACAATCTGTCTTTACCTATTCTTTCACCTATGAAATGGCCGACCTACGTCAGTAAATAACCTCCCTGGGTGGAATTCGATTTCCAAATTTCCCGTCCCTAGATCTTGGACTACAACTTCCTTGCTACTATAATTGCAACGTTTGGTCGGTACATGCCGGACTTCAAGCGCGCTTCAGCGGACGCAACACCCACCGGCACCAAGAAGGCACAGTAGATGGATGCTCGGATCTGTTCTCCGGGATTTCATATTTTGGGATTAGCAGCCATTTGTGGTGTTGTATGCGTGGGGTGGGGTTGGCGTGCCCGTCACCGGGCACCCTAAGTATCTTTTTTTTTGGAGTCGTGTACCATGGCTGAAAATGTTGCAGACAGACGCTGCACAGCTCAATGTTACAAATGTCAATTGATGTCACAGCTTGGCGTGGCCGTCAGCGCGCGGACGAGGTATACTCCAAGATCACACTTTTTCGCAAGTTTGGTATCGTCGCGAGAAACGGTCGTGACAATTAAGGGCAATCTCAAGGTCAGAAACGTCGGTGTCATTTCAGTGGTTTGCAGAGGCCAGATGAGTGCATGATACACGCGCCAGCAGTATCTTGAAGGAAAACTGTAACGATACTTATTCCCTATAGGGTACTGCGTCGTACGCTAACTGACTCAAGGAGTTGGAAGTAATGTAACACTTTTCGAATGCTAGGATGAAGACAGTTTACGCGGCCAATGGCAACGTTTGCCGCAGGAGTAGATTCCTTGTCAAGGGGAATGACAGGATTGTAGGCAATTGACGAGAGAAACGTCATGTTCATCGTTGACTAATCCTTATCTTGCACCGCACCTGCGATTCAATGTCCTAAGACAGAATCTGTCTTGCGACTAGAATCGACTCAAATTGACGCTTCAACAACGTCAAGGACACTTAATTTCGACTCAAGCAACTCGACAGCATGATTAACTCATTTCGACTTATTTCGACTCAAGCGACTCAGTTGCCAAGTCTTGGCGAAGCAGAGAATGCGATTGTTACAGTGGACCCCGAACGGGTCGAGTGCAGCGGGTGGGGCAGCCGTTGTCGACGCGGCGTAAAGCAGGCATCTTCGTAGGGTTATGTTCGGAATCGCTTGTCTACTGCAGGATTTCTTCATTTCGTTTCATTTCACGTTTCGTTGGCCCTTCCTTTACTTGTATTGGCCAGCAGCCCTTCCTTGCCAATGTGCATTTCCTGAAAGAGTGAGCCCACATCGAACCTGTCAAGCAACGGGGTTTGGCTGCGGCCTGAGAGGTAGTGCTACGGAGGACATAGCTTACCCCATGGCTTGGCTTTTTCCTATGAGCCAAGAACCTTCATGTATGATGCTCAGGCCTACTTCTGTCAATACCCCCGGGATCACTTATCCCAGAACAGTCAAATCAGCCAACCGTCAGATGCCGTGACACTTCCCTAATACCTTTGTAGCCCTCTCCCATGAATACAAGTCGCAATCCTTGCAAGCAAAAGACATATAGGTCACAAAGGATACAATTCTAGGCCTGTGTGACCTTTGGGTAGGTGACAGTCAGGTGATCACGAGACCTGAGAGCTGTCTGACGGTATCTAAGCATGCGCCTTGGCGGCAAGGCCCATTTACGACGTTTGCCATTCATAGACATCACAAATTGCAGCATTTCGAGGTTTCCGACCGTTCCCAAGTTACGTGTTACAAATTGCGCACGCACGTGCGGGGGTGTCCATAAAAGCCGGGGGGGCCATGGACGTTATAACGGTAATGATGCGGGTATGCGGGAGGCCATCCTCCTCCTCCCTCGTCCGCTTCAGGGTGAAGCGCCTCAGCGCGACGTGCCTGGCCAGATTTCCAGATTACCGGAGCTTTCGCGAGGTTTTGCAGGAAGGCCAAAAATAGGAAACTGTTTCGCAGCCGCAGTACAGGTTTCAGCCCGAGCACTGGGCGTCGTACAGACAACCAAGTATCACGCAAACACTCGTTTCAAGCGAAAACCTGTGTAAACTGCCTCTGTGTACTTTGCTACATTGTCCTGGGTCAAAAATTGGAAACTGTTCTTGAACTGAATTGAAGTCTCGGTCTTGAATAGTGGACTTCTATTCAAGTCCACTGGTCTGGATCTAACCAGGGCACGACGTCCTCATCGACGCGTCGTCGACTTGTTTTTAAAAAGATTGCAGTATATGTTTCGCGCTCCAATTTTATCGGACCCTTATAGGCTGGTCTGGCGTCCCAAACCAGACAACACAGGTTTCCTTGACAGCAGAAAGCAAACCCAAAAGGAAGGCTCAAAATCCCGTAACCACGGGGGAATGTGCGGGTGGGGCAGCCGTTGTCGACGCGGCCTCGAGCCTGCAAGGTGTATCAGACGCGCTTAGGAAGAGCACGTAAGTGAGCCGGGTGTTCAGGTATTGCAAGTTTCTGAGCTTATGCATAAAAGCCTTTAGGAAGATAGCGACAGATGATACCGACTTTTGCGGGTACGTGCTACGTGCAAGTATTAGATATGTAGTGGTAGATATGTAGCGAGTTCTTTTAGAGTACTGTGATTTTTGGTCGTTCCCGCTCGCATGTATATGATACGATGGCTGGTGAAGAGTAGAGAGAATCCTGCGGTTCATTCTTGGCCATGGCTGCGCGAGCTGGGCATGTGAAGTTGTATTGCCCATGTCCGGGACGTGAAAGATGCCACTTGGAAGCTTTTTTAGTATTATGATATGAGGGACGAAACAGATAATCCGAGTGTCTCCAAAACGTTACACAAGGATGGGGTGTGATCTATGTCTAACGGATTAATAGCCATGTCGGCATGTAATACACTTTCTCCCATCACGGCTTCATCAATTCATCGACACCATGCCACACGACGTCGGTCCTTGTCAGCCCAGTACGTTACCCATCGGCACACTCAGGTCATTTGCATGCAAACGAAAGTAAAACTCATATAGGTAGCCAACAGCAAATAGGAATGCTTGAGTGCCGTTGCCGCTCTGCCAGTCGATTGCGGATCGGCAAGGCTTACGACACAAGCTCCGTCTTCTTCCCCGTCTTGGAAATCTTTTCTAATACGTCTTGAGGACTCACGTTGCCCTTCACAACCACCTTCTGCTCCTCCAAGCTCACGTTATAGCTCTCCACTCCTTCCATCTTCCCCAGCACGCGTTGGACAGCTGCAACGCAGCCGTTGCACATCATCTCAACCTTAAGAACAACTTCAGTCATTTTCTAGTGTTCCCGTCCAGCAGTCTCGTATCCTAAATTGTCAAATACTGCCAACAGTATCTGAACGGGATATTACATACAAAACATTAACATTTGCAATATTACAAATTGTTTAGTCCTAAGCAAATATTTTATTGGTGACGCCAGTTTAATACCGTACTGTCCTTGGTTCTCGTTGCATGCGGTACTGCTCAGATGCACATTCACGATTCCACTACCTCGATTTCTTCTGCAATAGATAGGCGAATACCGTAGCGGTAGGAATTGCAGCCACTGTGGAAGAAACCTATCCAGTCCCGCGAACAACGACACTGCGCGTCGGTTTCTTCTTAATGCACTTATCGCGAAATCATGGTGCTGCTCCGGCGCCGGAACTGGACTTCAACCCTTGGGTCAGCCTGCTTAACGCTGCTAGCGTACGCGGTGCTGGTCTATTGGACTCGACCGGGCTTTATGGAGCAACACTACTACTCGAAGCAGCGCTTATGGGCGCAGTTCCTGGCGTCCTGCGACTGTGACGGCGAAACATGTGAGCACCACAGCCCGGACCTCTCTGCCCGGTTTCGTTCGTTTCACGCGCGTAAAAGCCTTAGGCCCCTCCTCGCCCCTCCTCCCCGCGACGACAACACGCTGCGAGAGTCACGCGTCCGGTTGTCCCAGCCGATTTACCTCTCACGCACGTCCTCCTGTCAGCAAGTTCTTGGTGTCGGACGCTTCCCAGCACCCATCTCCTGTCGGACGTTTCCCAGCACCCATCCCTCTCTCTCTGTCTTACTCGCTTTTTTTCCTCTTCGGCACATCCCACACGCGGCCGCACCCTGCCCTAAACCCTAAACCCCCGTCTCCCCGCCCGGCGACACGGGGCGTGTGGTCAGGTGGGCCCGGGGGGAGGTAGGAAAGTACGGGGTGGACTAAGTCCATGTAAAACCCTCGCGTGGGGGCGGCACAGGGCTGGAGGGTCATGTGTGTGCCGGGGGGGGTTGAGGGAGCTGGTGGGCCCCAAGCCACCTTGTGTTTCGACACGGGGATTGCACCACGGAGACCCCCCGGATTCCACCCCCAGCAACACCGCGTGATCGTTTTTCTTTTTTCTTTTATCTTGGTACAGCACTGTACGTCTTGTACGACAATATTCGGTGTGGTTTCTTAAAACCTGATACACCGCAGGCCCCGACACCTTCAATTTAAACATGATGCACGGCAGTCTGTACGACAGGCTGTTGACGGATTCGAGGAACGGCAACCGGTCCGTCGTGAAGTATCTGGTCTGGCAGCCGCACAAGGTAGCGGCAGCGTACCCATGGCGAGTACGGATGTATGCGCACATGGCGCTGGTTCTGCCGCGAAGGTACGACAATATCCGTACGGTACAGCACCAAGCAGTATATAGCTTTGTCTTGCTGGTGACCGGCATGGCTAAGAATGGCCGCCGCATGGGGTTTGCGGGCCAGGGAGGGACGTTTTCAGATACAGGTAAAGGTGAAAAAACTTTTCCAGCGAGATATCAGTTCCACCGTCCTCCTCTCGTCCTCCTCCTATTCAAGTGGTGTCGGCCTCTTAGTTAGCATGTGGAAATGCGAGTTTTCCTTGAAATTTCCTAACCCCCGAATCGTCCCCTAAAATAACCCCTAACCACCCCAACCACCCAGTCTGGCTGTGCTTCACTCTTGGTGGCTGGCGGGAAGTGAGGAACTGGCGCTGGCACTTCAGCACCTGTCACAAGGTTGGTTGACGGTTGGTTGGTGGTCGTTGAAAGTAGTTAGCGGCCATTGGAAGGTTTTTTTCTTCAAAGGTTTCCCGGCTCTTCGGCGCGGGCGATATCGTACACGGGCACACAGGCGGATTAGGAGGCCGAGGGATTGCGAGGGGAGCTGCAACGCGGCGTCAACGTGTTGAGTTTTTTTTTTATGAAAGGAAAGGGTCTGGATCGCGCGGTGCTGTACACCGCACTTGCGCCGCTTATGCCGTACAGGTGTGCCACTGGTTCTGGATCCGGATTCTGCCGCTGGTCAGCGAGTGGAGGTACGAACTGTACGGGACACCATCGAACGCAAATTCGTACACTGAATTAGAAGACGGGTAAAGTGGCGGGGCGAGCAGCTTCTCCTCCTCTCCTCCTCTTTCCTTTCCCCCCTAACCCTCCTCCCCTCCGTGTATGTGTGTGTATGTGTGTGTGTGTATGTGTGTGTGTGTGTGTGTGTGTCTCTACTCGTCTTTAATGTATTGCTCCAGCGGCTGTTTCAATCCAGATTTCGGATACATGTAATTCGTACATGTGCCTTCGGCGCAGGCAAATCTCTGATAGCCGGTAAACATATAGGGCTATATTTTATATATATGTGAACTGGGTTAGTACAGCCATTTAGTTTACTTCAAGCCGTACTTTGTGCCGTACTGCGCGCAGCCGGACGCGTCCATGCTGTGCAAGCTAGACAGCGCCAGGGAGGCGGAGGAGCGGGGCCGGGAGCGGGATATGCCGCAGGCGACACAAGCTGGGAATACGACACAGCAGCAGCAGCAGCAGCAGCGGGAGGCTGGCGGTGATGGCGGTGGTGACGGAGGCAACACCGCGGCCAATAACAGCAAGGCGAGCGGTGGCGGCGGCGGCGACGGCGGCAGCGAACGACGGCGACGTAGAGGTACCGCAGAGGGACCCGAGGGCGAGTCCGCCGTACGGCCGTTTGTGTGTTCGTTGTACGACACGCGGGGTGCGGCGCCGCTGCTGCGACTTTTGCGGCCTGGGAAGCGAAGGACAGGGTCGGCGGCGCCGCAGTCGCCGCCGGTGCCATTGCCGCAGCCGCCGCCAGCACCGCCGCCGCCACAGGGAGGTGGAGGCTCACCGTGGGGTGGTGTACCGGAGGCGCCACCGCCGCCTCCGCCGTCGATCCCGCCGGAGGCGGAGGGGACAGCCTACGGCGATCCCCCCGGCGTTGGCGGCGGCGGGAAAGACGGGGAGTGCGGCCCCGCTGGCGGCGACGGAACGAACGGCGGAAGCTGTCCGGCGCCGCCGGAGTGGGCAGCAGAGCCAGGTACGGAAGCTGCCGTTAAGCCGCCTCCGCCGCCTCCGCCGGCAGCGCCGGCAGATAAGGACGAGGACGGTGGCGGTGGCGGTGGCGGCGGTGGCGGCGGCAGCGCCCATGGAGTCTCTGGCGACGGCGGCTACCCGGGCGGCGGCGGCGGCAGCGGGGGCGGCGGCGGCGGCGGCGGCTTCAAAGGCCGGCGAGGGGCCAACAGCAGCAGCAGTAGTGGCGGCGGTGGTTTCTGTCGTAATTCGATCTACGTACGGCCACCGCGCCAGGCCGAGGTAAGCGCTGGTCCCTAACCGAAGTAAAGATCACCGGAGCCACAGAGATCTCCAACTTGTAGTTGGCCCACTCAGTGTGGCGCGTCATCCCGGCGTTCGAGGACCCCCTGTGCCTGTGTCGATTAGCCACTGCAACGATATGCCACTGAAGGCAAATCCTAGCATTATCTCATGTTGTGGATACGAATAAGAGGAAGCAAGTAAATTCTAAACACTGGTAAATGTCGCCTCAGGAAAGAGGCCTAATGAAAAGGTGATATTTTGCATTTTTATTTTCTGTTTTCTGATCGTATGGATGTAATGATAATGGTTACTGCAGGTTTCGGAGCATGTACGGGAAGTGGAGGCCAGTCCTCTTGGTCTGCCTCCCCTGGAGCTGCTGAGGGTGGCCCTTCCGAAGGCCGCTGAGCTAGCGGGCTGGCTGGTGTTGCCGTACGTGATGATGGGGCGGTACGTCCTGCTGCTGGCGCCGGCGCCGGCGGCGCCTTCCGGGTACGACAACAGCGACGGTGGAGCGTACGACGAACGGCTGCCGGCGCTGAGCGTTGGGCTGCAGCTCATGCTGGTTGCGGGTGCGTCGCGTTTGCATGTGGGGGTGTGTTGTACAGGGTACGACAGTATTGGGGCGTATGTTATACAGGGTACGACAGGGTACAACGCACGTGCGCAAAATCATCGGCTACGAGCCAAGGCTGAAAAAACAATTAATGTCTAAATGTGCGTATTACAGCATATGACTTGACGCAGCAGACAGATCCTGACGCTGGTGAGAATCCATTACCTTGGGCCTCGGCCTGGAGAATGTACGGAGACATGACGTGGCAAACACGTATGCCGTATAGCTACCGCTGCAGGCCGCGTAGCTCTCTCGAATGTTTGATGGTTCTTATAGCAGCAGTTGCTCCGGCAAGGCTTATATGTATCCTGTAAATGGGGACGTCTGCAACCGCCAAAATGTGCCGTACACCTGTTGCCGTACACCGTACACGCTGCCGGTTCAACCCTGTAGGTGCGCTGTTGACCATATTTGAGCTGCAGCTGTGGGTGCGGGTGGTTTCGGAGCTGCTGTCTCTACACCGGCCAGGACGTTCTTGGGGTCGGCGGCGGGAGGCGGCGTGGCGGGTGGTGTACGAAGGCATGTTACAGGTCAGTCCGTACAGAACAGTCTGCCGTACACTGTACGGTGAATCACCCATCTAACCCGACCCTGTCACTAGTAGTGACTCACTATATACCGCCCCCATCACCTTCGGTCTCCTGCGCCCTCTCCTAGGAGCTTTCTGGGATGAACACCGTCTCACGTCTTATCCTCCCCCCCAACCGCTGCTGTGGATGGTTCTCTGCCCCTGTGTTCCCGCCTGCCCACGCCGCCTCTTGCCCCCTGCAGCACTCTTTCCCCCCTTGGCAGCAGCTTAACTTCTTCGTGGTTTTTGTCTTTCCACTCTTGCCCTCCTCTCCCCTCCCCGTCCGTCCCTACGTCTTTGCGGACCCATTGCTCTGCATGTCATCAGGTCGTTTCCTTGACTTGTGGATGTGTTTCACCCCTTCCCGGCCACCCTCCCTTGGCATCACCTTCACTCGTTCGTGGTTCGTCTTCCCCCCTCTCAACTCCCTCTCTCAAACCCCCCTCTCAAATCCCCCTCTCAAACCCCTGTTTCCCCCCCTGTTTTCCCCCCCTCTCAACCCCCCCCTCAAACCCGTGTTTCCCCCCCTGTTTCCCCCTCCGCTCTCAACCCCCCCCCCTCTTCCCCCCTCCCCGGCCCGTCTCTCTCCCCCGCTCTTCCACTCAGCCGCTCCGGGAGGCCCTACTGTCCTGGAACATCACCCATTTCCTGGGGCGACCTGTACTGCAACTGGTGCTGTCCGTACCCTCCCTGGACGTGGCTCTCATGCTGCCCATCCTGTACTGCGTGGTGATGCTGGGGGCAGCCAACTGCGACGTGGCGACCAGGGCCACACCGGCATTGCTGAGGGTGAGGCGAGAGGGAGGGGGCGTGGGGGGAGGGACGCCGCAAAGGGAGGGTGTGGGGTGCGGGAGCTTGCGGTCCGCCCGTCTGTCTGCGTGTGCACTTTGCATCATATAGTGATAACATCCTCTGATCATTTTAAATTAAATTAAATTAAAGTAAAGTAAATAAAATAATGGTATCGACCGTGTGTGTCTGCATGTGTATGTGTGTCTTAGAATGTGCCTCACCCGTCCGGTTGCAACCTCTTCCTCACGCACATATCCCACCGACTCCTGTTGATTAGCCGGAAGTCGGAATAGATCTCTCTCTCTCTCTCTCTCTCTCTCTTACAAGCTTACAAGCTTACAAGCTTACATGTTCTCTTGTACTGGGTACAACTCTAAACTGCCAAACCATCTAGATCATCCGAACCTGGCAAGGCACCTAACTTTATCAATCTGTCTATCACTCTCTTCATCTCTCCTCCATCCCGCACCACACCTAGATATCTAACGCATCATTACCTTGATGTGCCAGGTCGCCCGACGTGTACGACACCACGAGGGCGGATTCCACCTGCTGCTGCTCCATGTCGTCATGGCGGCGGAGCCCAAAGCACTGCCGTACATTGTACGACTGATGCACTGCTTCAGCGTCATGGACACTGTGGGCAACGCCGGGCGCGCCGCCGTGGTGGCGGCGATGTTGGAGGAAGCCCCCGGGCTGGCGGCGGCGCTGGCGGCGGCGTTGCAACAGCAGCAGCAGCAGCAGCAGCAACAGCAACAACATGAGGTTGGCGGCGGCGGGGGAGATGGGGATGGCGGAGACGAGTTGGCGGCGGCGATGCGTGCGCGTGTGGCGGCGGCGGTGGGCGGGGATCGCGGCGCGCATCACCGTCGCGACGGCGCCGGCGGTGGCGGCGTGGATGGGGACCTGTACGACAGCGAGGATGAGGATGAGGACGAGGATGACGAGGCGGAGGGTGTGCGCGGGGAGGGTCGGCCCGTGGTGCTTAGGTGGCCGGCGCCTTTGCAGGTAGACGGCCCGGGTCGGAGGGGGTGGATGGAAAGGGGTCGGAAGGGGGGGCGCTTGTTAGGAGATGCATGACCCTCACCATCCTTCAGCCTTCTGACACTTTGCACCTCCTTTATAAAGCTTTCCTAAGCATCTCTTTTTTGTCCTTTTTTAAGTTCAAGAACCACCTGTCGTCACTAGAATGAATACGACCAACATTTAAAAGAAACATTCGGCCCATTTGTTGCCCTTTAATTTCCGGCCAATTGTTCTCGGCTTTATTCTTTTTTTCCTTCCCTCCTCCGATTCTTTCTTTTCCTCTTTTCGTTCCGCTCATCCTCCCCTCCGGCACCTTACCCCCTTCTGTCCTCTGGGGCCCCCCTTTCTCCCCCCTGCCGTGCAAAACCCGCCGTACAGCTCCCCTCGGAGTCCCACGACTGGGACGACGTGCCCCGGGGTTTCACGTGCGCCATCACGCAGCAGCTCATGACCCAACCCGCCATGTTGGTGTCCCCCGAGCTGCCGTCGGCGCCCACGTACGAACGAGCTGCGATACAGCAGTGGCTGGCGGGGCAGATGTGCGTGCGTGTGGGGATGGAGGGGTGGAGCGGGGTGTTGTGTTTTTCGGTGGGGGGAGGGAAATGGGTTGGGTGTGGGTTTTGGCGGGCGGGAGTGTGTGGACACTTGAGAGCCGTGGAGTGGAGGTGGAGGGGATGTGGTGGAAATGGGGGTTTGGGGGGTTTTAAACCCGCCCACCCCCTATTCCGCGTTGTTGCCCCGCAGGCGCGACCCCAAGTCCAACACCCCACTCCGCTGCTACAGCTTGCTGCCTAATGAGGATCTCCATCGAGCCATAGACGACTGGGTAAGTGAGAGAAGCGGATCGGGGTGGTGCGTGTGTGTGTGTGTGTGTGTATGGGGGGGACGGATGTGAAAGCAGAGGAAGGGGGTAGGAAACAGACCTCCCCCACACACCAGGGTTCAGTAACTTACAAATGTATTCCTACAGTATCTGTCTATATCGCCGATATTGTTTTCATTGTCAGTGGTTCGTCGTACCCCTAGGGCCCCCCTCCGCCCGGGGTTTAGGGAGCCGCTACACGACCTTTCCCCGTGTTGGTGGGGTAACCTCTTCCCTCGCGCTCTAGCTAATGTCGCGTTACAAGAGGTCTCCCGCAACCCGTCGGGCGGTTTTTTCGGTTTGTCGGAAACGGTCTTTGCAGCCTGCTTGAGCCTGCAGCCCCCCCTAGCTGCCCGGTTTTGGCAATGAAGGTCAGGTTGTCGAAAGAGGCCCGTGTGGAATTGCTAGGTACACACACATACGCACATATGCACACGCATACGCGCGTACGGCACTTGGCGCCCCGTCCCGTTCCTTTCTCCGTACGCAGGTGAGTCACCGGCTACGGGCTGCGCAGCGTACGGCAGCTCGAAGGTCCGAAGGACGAGCCAGCAGGCGGCGTCGGCGAGGACCCGCAGGTCTTGCGGATAATGACGGCGGGCTTGGCGGTGATGCTGCCGTGGCGGCGGCGGCGGCAGCCGCTGGCGGCGTCCACGCGGCTGCTGGCGTTGACGTCGGCGACGATTCCGCGTCGCGTTCCGGTGACGATACCGAGTCGTACACTAGGTCTGGCGGCAGCAGCGGCGGCGCGCGATCGACGTCGGTTCTGGCCTCCTTGGCGCAAGGTGCTTCCAGCCTGATGGACACCGGCGTGGAGGTGATGAGCCGGGCGGTGGCGGCGGCGGCGGCGGCGGTTGCCGTCGCTGCTGCAACAACGGCCGGCGGCGGCGGCAGTGGCCATGCACCGCCGCCGGGAAAGTACACCATTGGAGACGAGATTCCTCCTGGCGAGGGGCAGCACGAGGCGCAGGAACAACGTGCCCCTGAAGGGTACGGGGAGCTTCAGGGAGGGCCGGGGGAACAGCGAGGAGGAGGAGGGAGCGGCGGGGGTAGCAGAGGGCCGTGAGCGGAGCACGATGCGGAGGACTAGGCGCCCGTACAGGGCAGGCATCTGCACATCTGTGCACATCTGTGCACGAGAACCGTGGAAAGATAAAGACTGGGGGAACTGGGGGAGGAGTGACGATGCCGGGACGAGCAGCTTGGGGACGGTATGTTCTGAGCAGGATGACGACAATGCCAGACGGTTGCTGGTTGGTTGGTTGGTTGGTTGATGCTGAAAAAGTTCATGAATGGCGGCAAAGTGCTGTGTTGTATGAAGAGGGATGTGTCGTACCTGTATCCGTATTCCAGCTTTTCAACAGTAGCCAACAGCATGAACAGTAGCCAACAGTAGGCCCCGGAGGAGGCTGCTCCTTGTGTGCGACAGCTGTGTGTGCAGGGCAAGTAGTGGCTGAGGGGTGGTGCGGCACAGGGGACATGTAGGACATTACGGTTAGCATGACGGTTGCACGATCTCGTGAGTTCATGATAATCATCAGTAGTCTGCCGCTGGTTACTGCATCGAGGGTCGGTTTTATGGTACTGCACGTGCTTTCTCGTGGCAGCGGCGGCGACTGGCACGGCATGATATTGTGTTCCATAGTTCTCTGTTCGTACAGCAGTGTGTGTGCTAGTTGACTCGTAGCGGCTGTTCCGCGAAAGCTCAGAAGCCCTGTCCGTACTGGACCAGCATATTACAGTTTTACCTGCGTATACGACATACGACATTGGAACGGCTGAGGCAGTGGTTGGGACATATGTCGTTGTAACAGAGCGGATGTGCAACCCGAGACCGGCAGAAAGCGCCTCCGCAAAGCATTTCCCGACGGGGACGCCATGACAGATATCCTACCCAGTAATGGTGCATTAGGAGGTAGTATATACATGTATTTGACATGTCTACAAATTATGCCTGCGCCGTCAAACGCGACGCGTAGTTTGCCCTTCCGCCAGCCTTTTTCAAAGGCTCGTGAGAGCAGATGCAATAGTTCTCCACGCATGGACGATACACAACAACTTCGATGTCGTTTTACATCCTTGGACTGTTGCAACAATTCGTGTGAACTGGGAAGGTTTCAAAAGCAATAAGTACGAAGCCGTACCAGTACTACAGTTACACTTTCATGGTTTCAAACGCAGTGGGCCGGGAGGGTGCACAGCAGCCCTCATACATGACAGCCCCGCCAGCAATGTGCGGCAAACGACGGACGATGGGACACCTGCCGGCCGGTTTTGAGACACATGTACGGCGGGACCGATCTCCAGACGGGCCCCCTCCTATCCATTGCAGCCGTGTTCCCACATGCCATTGCAGCCGTGTTCCCACATGCCATTCAACCCCCTTCTTTCCGCCTCGCTCGCCTTCATGTTCAACCCGTACCGAAGTAAATTAAAGGCACAGCCCCGCCGCTCATAGGCGTTACAAAATAACGCACTTTCTACTCTGGAGAACATGACCATACAGCTCTATCCGGCAAGCCGCCCACCCACCCCGTTTTCGCCCCTCTAACACTACCACCACCAGTACCACCAAACAACACCCCGACGCGGGAAAGGAGAGCTGTTAATGAGCTCCCATGCCCCCTACGCGTTTTAATGTCCTCGGGTCCAAATTGAAGTCCTTGTTAGGCAATGCAACAGGGTTCCGTTTCGCGTCAGTTCCACGCCACTCAGTCTGGGAGTTTCCATGAGCCCCATATCTGTCTTACAAACAATGCGGAATACTATCTGCAACAGCAATCAGACCTGGGAGGGCAAAAAAGAGCAAGCCCTTGTCTGGCCCGTGGTGGGCTCGTGTTACACTCTTTTTGAGAGAAAAGGCAATCAACAAGGTGTAACACACGCACATGCACACACACAAAGCCGCCAGCTACGGGCGTAAATAACCAGCTGTCAAGTCGAAGGGTATAAAAAGGGCACCGAAGCGGACCTCCAGTCGAAACGAAACCAGTGAAGTCATTGTTAGGTGCGCGCGGTACTCCATCGACACACACACGCGCAGTACATAAACACCGCAGCCCGCACACACACGTGCCTACACAAACACATGGATAAACACATGTGGGGGGGGCCATGCAGACCCGGGCAAGCAGACCCGGCCCACAGCCGCACGATTCTTTAAATTTAGACCCGCGTATGAATGCGTATGCAATGTCGGTCTTTGGTTAATGCATTCCCCGAGAGGTGGCGGATAAATCGCATCCACTCGTCCTCAAACGGTCCAGTATGTCGTATGGTTCTTACGCATATGTTTGGCCTCTTCCACCAGCATTGCAACCCCACACGCAATCTTGCTTATCCGCACGCTGCAATATACAAACGACAGTAGCCCATTGTCGGCTACAACAGCTGGACTCTGGACCCGGGCTGGCCGTGCCGGCACGCGGTGACATGCGTCGGTGGGATGACGCAGCCGGGGCAACTCAAGCTCCCGCCGACGACCCCCTGAAACGTGCGCCAACTCCCACCTCCACAGCATGCGACAGCTCATACCGAATGAGGACCCCGACATCATGCTGCTTTGCATCCCAGCACTTTAAGGCATCAGCCCTCCGCTATGCCCCTCCACGCGTGCGTATCGCAAGCAGGTGGCCACCCGCAGCAGGAGCCATATCGCCGCCGCCCCAGGCAGCTGCTGCCAACACGCTCCGGGAGAGTAAAGTAAACCACACAGCACATTGTCAGCCAGACAGCCAGCCCCCGGGTCAAATCCGGTGCAAGATATACAACCAGGTTACGCCCTCACCACCACCAACAGTGTCACATCACGCCACCGTCGCCTCAGTAATGCCAACGTCTGCCGCACCACCGCCGCCGCTTCGATCTTCAGGCCTTTCACAACCGCCACAGTTACTTGGAAGGGCCGAAAGCACCGCCGACCCTGTTATCAAACCGCGGGAAACCTCCTCCTGCGCACCCTCTTCCGTACCCACCGGTTTCTGATCTTCGCCTGCAGACACAGGCTGCGGTCCTGGCACGGACTCTCGTCCTACCCACGCCCCGCCAACGCCGCCTGCTGCAGGCGGTTCCGCCTGTCCCCCCCCGGCTGACCCATTCGGCTCGGGCGGTGGCGACGGCGAATGCCTAGGTACAGTAAAAACTCGTAGCGGCTGCGGTGTCGCGTTGGCGTCCGACCCCGGCGGGGTGCGGGAGCCCGGCGGTGGCGTCTGGCCGTGGACGCTTGGCAGCGTCGGGCGGTGGGGTTGCGGCTGCGGGTGATGACCCGGCTGTTGCTGTTGCTGATGCGGGTGGTGGTGGTGGTGGACCTGGCCGTGAGCGCCGTGACCATGGCCGCGAACGCCACCGCCGCCAGGATGTCCCGACGCAGCGCTGTGAGGCGGCAAATGCACCTGGGGCCCTGCACCAGGTGCGGGTCCGGTGATCCCGCCTGCGACCTTCTCCTTTTCCCGGTCGCGCATGCGCTTAATGGTAGAACGCACAAACTCCTTCAAGTTTGCCTCCAGCTTATGTCGCTCGATGGGCTTGAAGACACCTGCGCTGCGCCGCTCCTCCCAAGCACGTCGCTCCTTGGCCACCACTTCTCGATATACCTGCGGGTGCGGGGTGCAGGATCGAAAGCGTGGAGAAGGACAAAAGGGAAAGACGAAAGCAGTAACACTGTGACGGTGTCACCAGGGTTTACAATGCTATGTTCATACCAGTTCTAGCAAAACCTATATTTGACCCAAGTTGATAAAAAACGTTCATTTGCTCACGGAAACCCGATTACCCGGTAACCGGTCCCCTCACCTTAGCGCGTAGGAAGTGGGCCTCCTGTACGGACACACGGCTGGGGTGCTCAGGCTGCATGTACTTGCCCAGTCGGTGCTGTACCATGTCGGCCACGTATGCCTCAAACGACGCATCCGGCTCCTCCCACACGTCCGCATGGTGGGTGGAGACAGGCCGCAACCACTCTGCGGGTTGCGATATCGGCGCCCACCCAACAGGGAGCCGTCAGCGAGGAGCATCACACGCCATTGAAGTGAGAGAGCATCAACCCCGCAAGGGTACATCTAACCATGCCATGCGAAGTGCAAGCCGTGAGGTTTTTGATGAGAACAGCTTTGTGACGGCAAAAGGGCACAGCAGATGAGGTCCGATGAGGGATGGGACGCGAGTCCCAGGGACAACCCAAGCACCGCAGGTTGAGGCATGCAGCCTGGCCTGGGCCTGGAGAGATATCGATGGCGTCGCCATCTTAGCCCCTCTGCTCTGCCCCGTCTTCTGAAGTGATATATCAAGTGTCTGTATAAGGCGATAAGGACGGACAACGGAGAAAATCTCCCAAGAAGTATGTGCAACAGCGGAGCTCTGCTTCGGCGTACCTTCGATATTTTCCGCCTCTGCGCCGTGGCCTCCGCCTGCAACCCCCTGGGGCATCGTGGTACCTCTTCCAGCTGTGGGCCCCGCGCCGCCCAGGTGCGACGGCTCGGGTGAAGGATGCGGCGAAAACCGCGCCATGCCAGCTGTTGATGTGCTTCCGTCGACGGAAGCTCCGCCGCCGCCGCCACCTGCAATTGCTGGCGCCGCTGACGGCGCTGGCATTCGCCAATCGCTGAGGGAGCTAATAGGAACAACGGACGGCACACCGGCGGAGCCAGCGACCGCCCCGGCGGCCGCGGCGGTGGCGGTAGTTGCACTTCCTGGGGCCGGGGAAGGCGCTTGGAAGCCCGTGCCGATGGCCCCGCCGCCATGCTGTGCGGCGGGGCCGAAACCAGACAAGGTGGGCGTGGAAGTCGTCGAACCCGGGCCCTGACCAGCAGCCGAAGCGCCACGTACAGCATCCCATCCGCCATATGGAGATGATGAGTTGTGTTGGTGATATGGGCTCGGGCCGGTGGCAGTTGCGGCGACGGCTGAGCCGCCCGCGGGGTGCTGAACGCGCAATGGGCGAAGCTGTGTACCTTCCCATGGCGCAGCCGTGACTGCCGTTTGCGATGATGACGGCGGCGGCGGCGGCGGTAGCTCCAGCGTTGATGCAGTTCCGACGGCCGTCAGAGTTGGCGGCGGCGGCGGCTCCAGTATAGGTGACATTGGCGGCCCAGACAGGCTCAAGAGCGGCGACCAACAGCAGTCAGGCTCGCTGTCCTGTGCTGCTGTATTCCCGTCCTCAGCCGTTTTGCTGCCTTCCAGCTCTGGGCGACCATAGCTGCCGTAAAGGCCCAATGCAAATAGCGTGACGACGTCCGTTGGCTCGGGCTTTATCTGGCCCTTGATCAGCGGCAGCTGCGATGGCTTTCGCATAGGTCGCTGCATTGCAAACAGCTGCTCTGCGGTTAGTCGTTCTGGGAGGTCCCCTGCCGGATTATCGCGCTCTTCCGACACCCCTCTTCGAGCCCACCCGCGGGATTGCTGCGTGTGGTGAGAGGCGTGCAAAGACCGGGGCGGTGGCCCTGGCAGATCCGATGACGATTGTAGCAGCGTTGCGGTAGCATGGTCGCGCTCAGGGCCGTCAGCTGCGCCGTTTGCAGCCGGGTAGACGACCGCGCCCCAGCGACTCGAAGGATAAGTGCCGTGGGCGGTGGGGTGGGAATGCTGGTGGTGCGAATGGAGGCCACCACTAACTAGGGAGTACGGCGGCCGTGGCGGCGGACCCGGCAGCGTGGCGCCGGGGGTGTACGGCGGTGCCGTGGCGTCACCAGCAGCCGTACCGTCCTGACCATGTACATGGCTGAACTTGCGTCGTTTGCTGGCATTATAAACCCCGTCATCCGCGGTGCCGGCGCCGCTGTGGGCTGGGTAGGGGTCCACACTGGCAGGTGAGGGCGGCCGCGGCGGCAGGCCTAGCGGGGAGGGCCCCATGCCCATTGCGCCCGCCGTGGTCGCACCGCGTGCCATCGTCGCAGCGGTGCCCCCGGCCCCCGCGCCGTTTACTAGAGGTCCCGTCATGCCGGCACTCCCGGAACGACCCATCATGTGCCGCAAGAGGCCCGGACGGCTTGCAAGGGCGGCCGCTGCAGCTGCAGCCACTGCTAAGGCGCGTTGACGCCCGGGGGCGAGAGGCGGCAGACCCATGGGCCCGTTTTGCCCTGCGAACGCCGCCTGATCCACATCCATGGTGTCATCCTCCAACGAGACCGTGCTACTGGTGCGAGGCAGAGATGACGCTGCAGCAGCTGCTGCTGCGTCGCCAGCAGCCATGGTATCGCCAGACGCCACCGCTGCGCCGGGCATCAGCGGCGGTGGCGGCGGAAGGCCGCTGCCGCCGATCATTCCCGCGTCCTTCAAACGCATCATCTGCTGTTGCTGCTTCAGCAAATGCTGCTGCATCATCTGCTGCTGTTGCTGCATTGCTAGAAGCACCATGCCGCTCCCTGCACTACACCCTACAGTGGAAAAGGGTGCTGACCGCACGCCGCCACCACCGCCACGGGTATTCCCAAAGCGCACCGGCGGTGCGGCCATGAGCTGCAGCAGCCTCTGGTCTGTAACCGCCGACGGCGGAAACTTCTTCAGCAGCGCCGCAGCCTTTGTCCGCACGTCATAGTCGGCGTTGCTTGAGAGTTGGCGCAGCATGTCGGCGAAGTTGCCATGTGCTGTGCGCACTGCATATATGTCATTAGCCTCCAGCGGAAGGCCGTCCACGGCGCGGAGGACCTGGACGCCACCGGGAGCGCAAGCAAAGACGGTAAGGATAATCCAATGAGCCAAGGCCAAGGCTTGCGATATAGGATCCAACGTGCCCCAGGAACGGGATCCAAGTATCAGGTCGGACATCTAGGCCTAGGGAGGGCCCACGGCATGGAGCACAAGCGTGGGAACCGGACAGCAGCGCCCCACTCAACCATGCTTGCATTTACGGCTCTTTGTTCACGGCTTTGCCGCCGTCCCCTAGCGTGCGTCCCGTACCTTTCGCAGGATGACGCAGTACTCCTTGCCCGTGTTGCGAACCATGGCCTGATGCAGCTGCGTGAGCAACCCGCAGGCTACGAGCTCTTTTTTGGCTGCAGAGCTGGTCGTCTTAATAATCACGTCCAGAAGCAGCGACAGGTCTGCCATCCGCGCGCGCTGCCGCGCCGTTAGCCCGCCGGCGGAGCCGGGTCCCGGCCCCGGCAGGCTCAGGTCATCCATGTTGCGCGACATGCCGCTGCCGCTGAGGTAGCGCCCACCGGCTCCTAATCCAAAGCCGTTATTGCCCCGGCCGGCATGACCGCCTCCGATGTCACACAGGTTAAAGAGGCGCAGCACTTTGATTACGTTCTGCCTGCTCGGGTCCTTTAGCCGACCGTTGCTGCCAACCACCTCCTCCAATCGCCGGTCAATCTCGCTGCGCAGCTTGCGGTTGGCCGCGGCAGCGCTGCTGCCGCCACCGCCGCCGCGACCTGTAGTGGACGGTGGCGGTGGCGAATTCGACCGCGGAGGTGAGTACGACAGTCCAGCCGCTGCGCTCGCCGGCGGTGCACCCCCAGAGCCCAGAGAGTTTTTCCGCGCGACGCCGCCCGACGAGGACACCGGCGCTGCTGGCGCTGTGGAGGTGCCTGAGCTACCCGTACCGCTGCCGTCACCACGCTTGCCAGAAACCGCTGCTGTTGCTGCTGCCGCCGTGTGGTTAGGCCCCGCTGACGCGCTCCCATTTTCAGTAGACTCCGGTGCCCCGCCCGCCGCGGGGGCCTTAGGTGGCAAGCGGCGGAGGCGCTTCCGTAGCGGCACGTGCTTCGCCGCCTCTGTCGCCACGTTGCGCACCTCGTCGAGCGCCTCATCGTCATTGCCCAGCGACGGGGACGAGCGCCGTGATGGGGGAGACTGCGGCGACGGCGGGGAGTGCTGCGAGCGAGGTGATGGCGGCGAAGACGGCGTGGCAACGGGCTTCTCCTCCACCGCAGGCGCCGGTGCGGTATCTGTGCGTCAGGGCCGCATCACAACACCTCGGATTTTACGAATACATCCAATCAATTGGAGACCCAATCCGTCCGCTCCTTGAAACCGTCGAAAGAGCACTGTGGCAGGAGCGTGGCAACATCCTAAGCAGGTCCAGCCTCTTGCTTCGTATACACTCGCGACCCCGACGACGACCCCCACTCGCAGCGTTCAATAAGGACGCCACAGTATCTACCCCAAGCTTACCTTGTTGCTGCATGATTTTCCACTGCTTGAAGAGTGCCTTAGGACCCCTAACCTGCGCGACCTGTGGCTTTGATATCCCCGTGCCTGCCTCCGGCTGCTTTGCTGCATTGGTCCCTGAAGCCTTCCCTTTCGTAGCTGCGCTTGTCGCCGCTCCGCCTGCCGCAGCCTTATCTGCTTTGCGTGGCTCCTTCGCCTTTGATGTCGCAACGCCCGTAACATCCCCTGCTGCTTGCTTGTCCCGCTTGTCCGAGGCGGAGCCATGACCGCTGGTGCTCGGTGCAGGCGCCACGCTGTCATGCTGCTGCTGTTGCTGCTGTATCCTCGGAATAGGCTCTTGGCCATAGAAGTGTTTCACGGTCCACATGATAGTCCGTGCCTTGCACAGCCGCTCCAGCCTGAAAGCAGGGAGGAAGCCATCGACGGCCAATACGTCTCAGTACGCACACCAGGGCCACATTTCTTTAGCAACAAACCAGAAACCTTTCCTGTGATTGCTTGTAAATCTTTCGTAATTGGTCCCTTTCCGTCCTTCCCGTCTGTCACCACTACGTTCGCACGAACTCAAAATACCTCCCGGATGGAAGCATATCGCCCTACGTGCCCGAATGCCTACGCTAGATCCATCGTTGCTCAATACCCCTTTCCCCTCAACCCGATCGACCCGGCGGCTGTCCCCACGAGCCCCGCAACGGCCCCTCCCAGCCCGGGTAGAGGCACCGCACCTTGTGACCATGCCCATTTCCTTGGCCTTATCCACTTTTGCTCCAACGCGCCATTCCAGAAGCATCCGCATGTTGGGGTCCATGTCGCTGTCCGTCAGCATAATAGGGGGCAGGTCGTGCAGCGCAGTGTCCGCCTCCACCGCGGGCAACAGCGACACGTCGTAGTTGTCCTGGGAGAACACAAGCGTGAGGAAGGAGCAAGAAGGAATATACTGAGTGATTTGAGTGAAAAAAGGTATGATTAAACATCCATCCCCAGTCAAGAGGCAGGGCCAATACAGCTCCAGCCAAATATCCCGCCAGTGTCCAGCAACACATGACATGGCTACAACAGCAACCGGCGATGGCTGCAGGGTCCTGTGCGCGCTTGGGATGCAGGGCCCCCCGTTTGGGCTGTACTGCATAACCGATATTATGCATTTGGACTCCATGCCGTATGTTAGGCAAGTGCCAAGAACCTTTTGGTGCCAATTAATCCGCTATCCTGGCCTGGGCAGTATGCAAAATTTCTTAAGTCCTGGCGGCAAGTCACAACCCATATAGCCCGCGCCACAACCTGCATGCCGCCGATGAATTTCCGGCAGTTGGTCGATCCGCAGTAGCAGCGCATGGGCTTATCCCCGTAGCGCTCGAAGTTGTAGTCAAAGGTCAGCTCCGTGTCTTTCGGGATGTCGCGCACGGCAAACAGCCCAATGGCGAGCTCACCCCTCACGAGCCACTTCTGTGTCTCGCAATTTGGCTCACAGGAGTGGTTGATGAAGCGTGAGATGTTGCCCTACACGCAGCCAAGATGGACCAGCGCGCAGCGCCACGGCCTCATTAGGTTGCCCCAAACGCCCCACATGTGTATAGGCCCAGGTCTCAACCAACAGGTCGGGTCAGGAAACAGGAGAGTTCCGTGAGCAAACGATCGCACATTTAGATGCCCGCTCCTGTTTTCCAGAAACCGGTCCAGGTCCGTCAGCGCTACACAGCCGCTCCAGCTCAGTAGCAGTCAGCCGAAGGCTGCTGTCTGCTTCGCAATGGCAACCACCTTACTCAGTCCCCAAAACATGCTTAAGTCAAAATGGAACCAAATGTGCTGTACAGCGCCACGGGAAAAAATGGCCCTGAGCACCCAGTGGAACCCGTCACCTCTCCAGACCCTTCCAGAGGCCCTACGCGCATGCACAGCCCGATACCCTCGCACCCACCCCCTGCCTCTTAACCCTTAAGGGACAAGGCGCGGACCTTTCGGCAGGCGTCGATGACCTCCCCGTTCCCAATGTTCATAAAGTAGTAATGCCGCTGGCCCACGGACATGTAGTACTCCTTCCGCCGCTGGTATTCGTCCTCCTCCAGCACTTCACCTGCCACAGAGAAACACGACCCCACCAATTAAACCCCGTGAAATCGCGGAGGCCCTGACCCATTGGATACCAGCAGTTAAGTGCTGCAATCCAAAGCGTCCTACATCACAGGACACTGAGGAGGTTCATAGGATCTCCTGCATGGCAAGCTCGATCCATCCTGTTGATAAGAGAAGTTGCCCCGTCCCCTCCCTCACCGATGTACTCGATGATGAATTGCCCCGCTTTAATGTCCTCCAGCGCAAAAAGCCCAAATCCCTTAGCTCCGGCTCGCCGCTGCAACGGAAATTGCAATGGCACCACCACAGAAGCCAAGACTCATTCAAGCACTGGTGCATTCGCCATCTGGGTTGCGGACACTACGGAGCCGACACTACCATGGGAAACGCCAACCGCCAATACCTCAAGGGGCTACTTCATGAGCTGCTGACGCCGACGCCGCAACTTACAATTTCCAGGTTGGCGTACATCCGCTTTGAGAACATCTGGTTGGTGCACTTCTCCTCCGAGGGGCAGAACCCCTGCACGTAGATACCAGGTCGGAAGCGCACTTATTGTTAGGGCCACCCATGGAACGCCTGTTGTGCCTTCAAGGCTGTGACCCACTCACCTGCCACGAACTGACTTAGAACCCGACACCCCGAACACCTCCGGTATAAACCCGCGGGGCGATCCGCACACTTACCGGCACACACTCGATGCATAGCATCCGGTTAATGCAGTCTGGCCCGCAGCCATCTCCCCCACGCCAGGGGGGCTTACAGTGGCATATCATAATATCATCCTCGTCCTGCACTTTGCGCTTCCTATGCGCCAAGACATTGTCCTTAAGCAGCTGCCACACGGCGGGTATCCGCCGTCGCTTTAAGCTCTCCTCGTCATGGTCGCTCTGGCCAGGCAAGGCGCAATGGTTACATGTCAGGTTAAAACGTCAAACTAGTTGGGACCGCGCCGCAACCCGCGTAAAGCCTGCCTTCGTAAGTCACATAGAAAAGTGGACGAAAACGCTGCTAATATAAAGCCCATAGGCTCAACTGACCTCTCCCGCCCCGTCAGAATCTCCGTCTGCGTCTATTTCCTCGTTTGTAAGCTCCTGCGGCACGCTGCAGCTTGCGAAAGCCTTGTTTGGGTTGTGTTCGCAGTACCTGTGGAGCGAGGGTGGTATCTCAAGCGTCTCCAAGGCCTGGAAGGCGCGCAACGACGCCGGCGCGCCGGCACCCTACCAGGGCGTATCCTCCCTAATTTGGTCAACGAACGCTGCAGGAATGCGCCGCCACTTCGTGCAACGGTCACACAGCACCCAGTTGTCTGCCTCCTGGTCACTGCCAGAGTTGCTCTGCCGGCCCTCCTCATCTCCTTCCGAGCTTGACTCTGAATCTAACTCCAAATCACTGGAATCTGAGAAGGAGCGTCTGCGGCGCCCCTTCCCCATGACACTGATGTGGAACTTAGTTGCTCTGGTCCATCGTTGTCACAAACCAAACGCGCATGGGCCTATGGCATCCAATAATCACGTCAGCAATGGGTTATTTATACGCATAAGTATTTTGCGTAACCTTTGTGAATATGGCATGTTCTACGCGATGAAGTTTGATGAAGGGGTTGACGAAATGGGGTCTGTGTTGACCCCATGTGTCTCAATGAGATATACATACTTGCAACTAGGCATGTTTAGATAACCCATTAAGATGGACAACATGTATACCTCTTAGTGAGAGCCGCCAACCATCAGTACTCGATCGGGTTGTGCGACGCTCAACTCTGTCCGTTGCTTGGAATTTAATCACCCCGGATGATGGCCCTTACGTTTTTGGGACGACGCCAGGGTAGGATGCCTACGCTGTGCTAGCGGCATAGTTAACATCAAAGCTAAAGTGTCTGCGCATCTTTAACTTTGGCAGGTCGCTTGCTTCTGCGTTCGTTAGGTATAGTCGAGAGTTGCCTCCCGCGAGGAGATACCAGCAGGTACTTGTACTAATGGGGTCGCGATGCAACTACAACCGGTGCACTTTAAGAGACGCATAACTCCAAGAGACGCGTAGGGTGCAAGGGCGAGGCATACCAGGAGACACATATGGTGGTGCGCTTGCAGGCCGACCACTGGAGGCTTGGAACCGGAAGTGGAGATTTGCTCCACCTCGCAGCAGGTGGGTAGGGTTAACCAACCTGCCTTGCCTTGCCGCCTTGGTGTGCTGCCAACCCCGGCACCCTTTCCGGCGCAGTACCCTCCGCTCTCCACGGGCTGGCCACGTGTAGTGCGCTCCTATGCGATTAACAACCAGCCTACGCTTAAGTACGTCCCAGTCCCGGAGCCGGAGCACGACGACTTTAGTGGGGAGCCGACTACATACCCTCAGCTGCTGAAGGCAATTAAATCGGCAAGGGGTCTTAGACGCTTGCAGCACTTGCTCTCAGCGCACAGTGAGCGCTTTGACGCCGTGCATGTTGCGGCTGCGGTTGCCTGCCTCCCAAAGCTTATCAGTTATCGCACTGCGGACCTCGTGGACCGCAGCAACACCGTAGTTGTGCCCACGCCAGGCCTGCCGCGCATGCGCCGTAAGCACGGTGCGCAGCCCAAGCAGACCCACCTGCAGGAAGGTGGTCGATTGGCAGCGCGGCTAGATTACATGTTGCCCTCGCACGTGCACAAGTTCTTTCCACGCCAGGTGGCCTGCACGATTTGGGCGTTCGGTGAGCTTCGGCGCATGGGTGTCGTGGACGGCATGTCGTCACTGCCGGATGTGCTGTTGGCCGTAACAAAGGGCGATTTCGAGCCCCTGCGTGTGCATGGCCACGGCGTGGACCTCGCGCAGATCCTACAGGGCCTGGCCAAGCTCGGGTATGGCGACCTTCAGCTTGTGGGGAAGCTGGTGTCGCTGCTAGAACAGCGAGTAGAATCCATGCAGCAGCGCGAACTCCAAATGTCCGTGTGGTCGCTTGCGAACTTGGGGTACCATAGCCCCGGCGTATATAACCAAGTTGCCGACCAGCTGCTCCGTACGGGCACAGCCTTCCTGTTGCCCAGCGGGTGCTCATCCGCTTTCTGGGCTTATGCCAAGGCCGGCGTTACCAACCGGATCGACTTGTTCAATGTTTTGGCTGGGAGCATGCTGGGTCAGGCGACGCTGTTGGCGCCACAGGATGCGGCGACGACGCTGTGGGCCTGCAGCAGGCTGGGCTACCATAACACGCATCTGATTACGACGCTTTGTGATGCTGTGGTGCGCAACCTGGCAACGTGTAGTGACTTAGAGGTGTCGTCTGTCGCGGAGTCGTTGGCCAGACTGGGTCACCGGCACCAGGGACTGATGGACACTCTGGCGACGGCAATTCTGGCGGAGCCGGTTATTGGTGCGCACCCCACGTGCATAGCGCGGGTGCTGTTCGCGTATGGGAAGCTGGGTTGCCGCTCCCCGCGGGACGTAGAGCTTGCGTCGGTTCTGGCAGCCGCGCTGGTGCCACAATTGCCGGTCGTGCGGGAGGACACGTTGGCAATGGCTTGCAAAGGTCTGGCCATGTTCGGGTACAAGGACCAGGTAAGCTCGATGGAGGCGGTTTTCGTACTATCTATGGATGTGGAAATGGCCATATAGAATGCGTGAAGCTCCTTATAGGGCATGCTTGCTACCTCACCGTCAGCGTTCATAGGTATATCGGGGGCACGTATCTGTGTTTGTTGTCTTCTGAGAGATTATAAATGGATTTGACATATGTTCATGCCACGGATTCCCCCTCCATGCAGAGAGTGCTCGCTGCGTTTGGGTCACGGGCGGAACGGCTCCTTCCGGATTGCAGCGAGGCGCACCTGCTGCCCGTCCTCCGGCTATTGGGCAGCGCTGGCTGCCAGCATTACCAGCTAGCCGTCGCGTCAGCACGGCATTTACAGGCAGTTATCCTTCCCAGCAGCAAGCGTTGTAGTGCATCCGCTGCTGTGGAGGTCCTGTATCTTTGTGCCCGTCAGGGCGTCGAAGACCCCTCGGCAGCGGCAGAGCTGATGGCGTTTGCAGCCGCCCGTGAGCAAGAACTGACCCCTGTCGACGCTGCACGGCTGTTTGTTATAGGGCAGGTAAGGGTGGATGCAAAAGAGTGCACCTAAGTTGCTTCGGTTTTCTGCTCTAATTAGCGCTGGGTTTGCTTTTGGTTCCCCGTAATACACAGGTCATGAACAGGAAGGAAGAGCTTCTGAGCCGCATGGCGGATGTCGTCGTACGGCATGCGGTTGAGCTGGACATGGAAACGGCGACAGTAACTCTCCAGAGCGCCCAGGCGGTTGGGCGGCAACACGTGGCTGCCGCCCTGTCCTCAAAATTAAAGCAGTTGGAAGCAGCCAGCCAGCCAGTCAGCCAGGTTGCAATTGCTGGCATGTAGTCGGTTGTTTTTCTGATTGCAATTGGTCCTTAACTCAATGGACGTTGCTGTTACATTTTACATATGACCCGACCAAATGTACAATGCACCCTCACCAAGACAGATGATGAGCAAAATTGCTATTGGCGACGTATCAACATTATTGTTGTGGAGCTGCATCTTTGTTAGGCGCTTCAAACCGCGTTGGTGTGTCCAGTACGTACAGGCAAACAAGACCTGCGTTGTGACACGGCAGGGCGTATCCTTCCCTTACGGAGTAGACTTAGGGTTAGAGACCTAGGGTTAGAACTACAAGCCACAGATACTGCTTTCTCCCAAACAAAAACTCTCACGGGAGAGTCTAACGAGGCTATTTTGATTATGACAGCAACAGTGGTGGTGTCCAAAGATGTCAACCTGAAGAAGTATACCCGCGCATTCCCAAATGGCCGTTAGATCGCCAAACAGACATCGACGCCCACGACGTACCCGCGCAAGAGGCAAGCGCCAAGAAGAGGACGGCCAGCATACCCTCCAGCCAGCGGACCTGGGTCTGTGGATAACAATGAAATGTCGAACGGGGCAATAAACGGGTGACGACGATGTCGTAATAATTCGTTAACATAGCGTGTGCAGTGCGTAAGTGCAACGACAGCATTAAGAGGTACCTGGCAGAGTGGGCCGCACGTGGTGTAGGGGCCGAAACCTGTGAGCGGCGCCAGAAGGGAGCGGCGCTTGCTTCCGTTAGCCAGCAGGTCGGTCGTCGGCATGGTTTCGGTGGCATAGACAAGCACGTGATTAACATTCGCCTCCTTGACAGCAGCCTGCACAGCCATAAGCTGCTCCACCTCTGACGACAAGCCGGCATTCGTGCCTTTCTGAGCATCCTCAATTTGGGAGCACACAAGGACAACATGCAGCTTTGCGTTGCTGCCCTTCGCAAGTGCAGCAGCGACATCCAGCTTAATGTCTGTAGATGGTCCCGAGCATCCCACGACCTGCAAAAACGCGAACGGGACGCGGGCCTCACCACCCTGACATATCCGCGTTGGAAGTACTTGTGCGGTTTCCAGGTCAGGTTCAGTGTTCCGCACTGCACTAGATAACCGTATGGGGTATTTATATTGCACATGTAACAACCTCGGCCGTCCCTTACCTCATGCTGGATGCCCGCGCTGTCAAGCTTCGTGCATAAAGTCTCATGGATGGAATCACCCTGCAAAAATCATACGTGGCATCGGCCGACATGCAGGCACATCGGACCAAGGAAGGTATAGGAGCTGGGGTGGCTTGCGCAGCGACCTAGGATCAATGATGACTTGTGCCTTGCGCACAAACCCCATAACACCTCGCCTCTCTCCAATTCACTTCTCACCTTGCTGATACTGTACGGCAGAGCCAGCGATGACACAGCCCCGCTCAGCACATCATCCAGACTGCGCACGGCATCGCTCCGGCTGCGCATGTCTGCAGCATCCAACTGCAGATGCCCGAGGGAAGGGAGTTCGGGGACAGGGGTCAAGACAGCCACGAGCGTGTGGCTTATCGCAGCCTTTCCTATCCTCCGAAACCTGGTATACCTGACTCCCAATGAAAGCAACCACTGTGCGAGGTTCCTCTGAGCTCAAAGCCTCCCCAGAAAGCCCATGCACGCCGAAATCGCTGGCCTCAGCCTTCCCGAGCACGCCTAGGACCAGGTCTGTCGCGACCTGTTCCACATCTGGGAAGACCTAAACAGAAACAACATTATCCACATAAAGGTTGAGAGTTAATGTTGGGATGTCTCTGAGCACGGGGTCCGCAGTCGCCGCATCTCGTGCAATACCTCGTAGGAGACGTGCTTTCCCTTGGCGAATACGGCGCGATTGCTCCATGCCATTACTGGCGCAGATATTCCAAGATTTTCAGCATTGACGACCGCAGCGAGTAAAAGTAGGAATAGCGCCAACGATGCAGCGCACATCTTCATCTTTCAAGAATCAGCTGCCAACTAAGCAGGACAAACGCCTGCAAATCCACCGAAATGTTATAGCGGTCTGTAGTGCAAACAAACATGTTACCATGCCCGATCATTTTCGGGCAGCTTTGGTCGTTGCACGGCACAGGCAAAAGGAGAACTTCACTTGCAGCATGTCAGCCAAATAACTGAATCATCAGTATAGAAGAGCGATTCCCTTATTAAGATGAATTGATTATGCATGCTGGCGGTAGATTTCTTCCTGGTCAATTTCGTCCTAACCTTCCAGAGTGACGGTCTTAAGTGTGTTCGCGGAATACACTCTTCGACAACGAACTGGGTTTTGCCTAGTAAACTAGCCCTCGCTTCTTTGCTGACATTCGCTCTGTGCAGTCTGAGAATTCCGGCCAAGTAATTGCGCCGAGGGGACCCCCGAGCGGGTCCCTATTTGTTAGTAGCTCGACGCCATGTTTGGTAAAATATTACGAGCTGGAAAGGGTGGCCATGGACTTAAGTATAAAATTGACGTGCAAGTTATCCAGCTGGAGAACTTGCCTACAACCATCAAGAAATGCCGTGTGGTGTGGTCGAGGAGCGCCAAGCTTCAAATGACGGACATCAAAGACGTCAGAGGAAGTGGGTTATAGTGTCAATTTCATCCGCGATGTGCCAGCGAAGCAGTAACTTCGTCATCTGATCCCTGCGGCCTCCGTATATCCTTGGCACCACCTCTATCCAGGCGTGGCGTCCTTCAAACAAACCCTGACACAAGTGACCACAATTTATCGCGATAAGGCGGGGAAACTTGAACAGAAGGTAAGTTAGGTAGGTGACGGAAAGCTGTGTGTTTGGATTGCCTGCCTACAACACGATGCATGTTATGAACTCGCAGGAGTACGAATTCAAGGTCCAAGTGCCGGGGAAAAGCAGCTCAGATAGCCCGATTACAGTTGGGAAGAGTGTCCTGGACATGGCGAAGTACTGTAAGGACGAGACTACGACGCAGCCAGCAATGGTCCCGATCACCTTTAAGATAGGGACCAGCACTACGGGGTACCTAAAGCTGTCCATTACGACAATATTCTTGGGGGACTCTAACGATGATGGGAACACTGAGGTTTCCGGACTAACGGGGCTGACGTCGGACCACGGCTCGGTGCGGGAACAGGATTTGGAAGGTACGGCGTGTGCTGTGGGATGATTACTGCGTCGTACTGTACTGACCGTACAAGCCTCAACGAGATAAACAGACATGGCTCTTAGCATACGGATATGTCGACATTAGCTGCAGTCGATGCGCGGTGATGTGCGGTTTTCAAGTGCTGACCTAGATTGTGGCACGCGTGCGGGACTTGCCTTAGGGTTTGTCGACGAGGAGCATTCTAAGTTCAGCAAGAAGGCTAGGAGCAGCAAACGCGAGGAACCGCCTTCAGCAGCGGGAAGTTCGGGACGCAGCAGCAGTAAGGCAGAACCCCCGCGGCGCCATAAGCCCTTGCCGCCAACTGCGGAGGAGGAGGACTCGGATCTCGAGGACAAGCTGGAGCCCGCATTGAACACTTCAAAATCCGGAAGGAGGAAGTCCTTAGCGGCTCGGGCTTCAGAGATTGAGGAGGCCGAGGAGGATGCAAACCCATTTGCAAAAAAAGTCTCAAAATCAACACCAAGGAAGGTGGCACCCAAAGTTTGGGAGGATGACGAGGACGTGTCGCCCCTGAACTCGGACATTTCGGTAAGGAATTGTTTGCTATGGTTGAAAATCGTGCATTTCATGTCCTTGCACGTGCGACACAGCACCGACGGTGGATTGTGCGTTTGCGCGTTTGGATAAAGCATTTGGCAGCTCCCAAAATGCGGGTGGTTATACAGGAAGCTTAGAGTATGCTACGGTCCGCCTCTGCAGGATTCGGAGCCGCCGCCTAAGCCGAAATCCAAGGCCAAAAAGGCGCAAGAGCCGGAGGAACCACTGGACGACATGAAAGCCTCGCTATTTGCAACCAAGAAGCCAGCCAGTGCAGCTGGACGCGGGACGACGGGGGTTGCAGGTTCGGCTGCTGAGCCGTCCAACAAGGCCAGCAGCAGCAAAACCAGCAAAGCTCCACCACCCCCGCTACCACCCGCCGAGGACGAGGATGACGATTCGTTGCGGAACGACCTCTTTACTGCTAAGCCTAAGAGCAGCGCAGCGGCAGCAAACAGCAAATCGAAAGCTGCGGCCGCCGCTGCGACGGCTGGTGCTGTCGCAGCTGCAAGTTCGGTTGCCACGCTGAAGTCGAAGGCACGGCCCCCGCCGACGGAGGATGAGGAGGATGAAGACTATGGGCCATCAACGAGTGCGGCGCAGCCAGCAGCGAAATCCCGGACTAAGACGGCTGAGGTGTCAGAGGCTCCCATGACCAAGGGTTCATCGGCATTGGGGCGTGTAGGATCGTCAAAGCCTGACATAAGCAAGGTAAGAAGCACCTGTGTCCAACTCTTACCCGGCGCCCCAGTGCTCAGAGCTTCTAAGCTCGTCCTCTCTTTGCCTTGGCAAGTATGATTTTGGTTTGCCCCTGCACTACTGCTGGGGCAAGGGAAGGTTACATGCTGTTTTTTAGGAAGACAGTTTGGGGCAGCGGCACCGATCATCAGATTTGGTTAACTTCTGGAGGACGTCCTGGATCGAATGTGACAGTGGGGATGAGAGTGTATTTGGGCGTAGATCGCCGCGGCCTCTTTTCCAAGGATTAATGCCACGCATATGCTATGTGTTTTCCAGGGCGGCACGCCTGCAGAACTGGATCAGCTGCGGCAGCGGGTCGCGCAGCTGGAAAAGCAGCTAGCGGACGAGCAGGCGGCAAAGGAGGACTTGGGCAAAAAGGTCCAGAAATATGCGGATAAGGTTGCGGACCTTGAAGACCAGCTCGCAGAGGTAAAGATCCATTCCTATGGCCCATGGGTCGTCTGGGACGTGGTGCTGGGCGGGGATGGGTGGGTCCCCCAAGCTCTTGTACCAAAGCATGTATGCGGCACGCGCACTGCACCACGCACATGCATACATAAATTAAAATTCTTGCAAGGGCATGAGCGGGATGACGGTGCCTGAGAGGCAAAGCATGTAACGCACATTCCTGAGGCGCCACGGGAGTCCTTCAGGCCGCTTGGTTATAAAGGCGGCTCTGGTACAGGCCGACGCGACGGAGCTGTACGCCGAGATGAAGGAGATGGAGACGAGGTATCAGGCAGAAATCAAGGAGATGGAGACGAGGTACCAGGTAGAAATCAAGGAACTCATGGAGCGTCACCTGGCGGAGGTGGCAGAGCTGGAAGAGAGTCACAATGAGGAAATTAAGGAGCTTAAGGAGGCGGCGAGCGCGAGTGGGGTTGGGCGAGGGCGCAGTGTGGCCAGGTGGGGACCATTGCAAGAGCTTCTTCAGGGGGTTGTCAGATGATGGTTTAGCGTTATCGTCCCACTGACTGATATATTTAAGCAGGGATATGCTATAAATGCTTGCAGTGCGGAGGAACTCGAGCGGTTACGAAATGAGCTGGCCGCACAGGACTCCCTGCTGCAGGCGCAAACTGCAAAACTGGAGGCTGAACAGGCCGCTGCAATTGCAGCCCGCGAGGTGCGTATCCCGGCAGGCGGGGATTGATCTAATTCGTCCAGTGGCGCGCTGACCTTGACCTGCGGTCGACTGTGCTTCCTGTGCTCCAGGCAGCTGAATCCAAGCTGTCCGAGGCAAATAAGATGATTGACGATAGTCTTCTGGTGGCGACAAAGCACCGGCAGGAGAACAAGGCTCTGCAAGAGGAGGTGCGCGTGTGTCGCCCCTCGTAACATATGTTCAGTATTGGTATGCCTGACGCAAAAGGATATTGCATAGCCGACATGTTTGGATCCATGGCCATCATGTGGCAGGTTGCGCGGTTAAAGCGACAGCTGGAAGATGCCTCAGCGTGGGACACCAGCGCTGCTGTAGCAGCAGCCACGGCTGCCTCCAACAACGGCCGGCGCAATTCTCAGACCGAGGCGGAACTGGAGGAGCTGCGCGAGAGGATCGAAGAGCTCGAGGTTGGTAATGTGTCGCGCCTCCATGTGTCGCTTCCTCCTTCCCTTCTTCTCGTTACATCCTCACACATGGCGTTAATTCGGTGTGCAGGAGGAAAACGCCCGGCTGCAGAAGCTGGTAAGTCTGTCCGAAAGCTGGTCATCCCACGTGGTCACGGTGTTTGTGATTGTGTGTTCTTGTGCCGTGCCTTTCCCATATCCTATTGGCAAACGCTAACCTTAAGCAGCATCCAATAAAAGCCTGTAGAACCACAGCTGTCAAGCGCCTGTACTAGGAAGCTCAGCAGCGCAGGATTAGCTTAAGCGCAAACTCAGCCAGGGCCATTTGTATAGCCGGACTAGGGCCGGAAGGCAGTCGTTAAGGATGGGCTCCACACGTCGCGATGGCAGCCTTAAAAGTACAGCCATCCTTCATGGCGCGGCAGAACGTGGTCGCCCAAGGAGCGGCTGCGAGCATGCTGAACGACATCCGCGCGGTCCTCCATGATGCACAAGGCGGAGGCGACTATTGGCTTACCACTGTGAGTAGAGTGGGTTACCTCTTGAAGGTAACAGGGTTTAAATATACCGGAGGGGAACACCTGCGGGCTTAGTTGGGTAAGCTCACCGAGAACAGTGTCAGGCAACTATGGAGTAGTCGCGGTGCAGCGTGTCAATCCCTTCCCATCGTGCGTGGCTGTGCAGGGATCATCGGCGCTGGATGAGTTAGCTGTTGAGGTCGGCCGCCTCTGCAACGCGTACTCGCGCCAGTCGTCTGAATTGCGTCAGTGCCACGACAGGTAAGTCTGTTTGGATCATGGCCATGGCTCACATTTGTTCAAATTTTCAGCTGGCCTAAGGATCTTTGGGGATGTCCTGCGGCCATAAGTGTGCCTGGAGGGACACGCTGTTGCGCGCGTGGAACTGTCGTCCAGAATACCTTTCGCTCAGCTTCATGCGCAAGACGTTTCATGCCCCAGTTGTTTTGCCATTCCGACATTGTGCCATCGTCCTTGCCCCGTTCCGCATCCCATTCCTTCTT